AGGCTGCACCTTGAATACTGTGTTCAGTTTTGGGCCCCTCACCACAAGAAGGACATTGAGGTGCTGGAGCAGGTCCAGAGAAGGGCAACAAAGCTGGTGAAGGGTCTGGAGCACAGGTCTTACGAGGAACGGCTAAGGGAGCTGGGGTTGTTTGGTCTAGAGAAGAAGAGGCTGAGAGGAGACCTTATCACTCTCTACAACTACCTGAAAGGAGGTTGTAGTGAGGTGGGTGCTGGCCTCTTCTCTAAAGTAACAGGTGATAGGACAAGAGGAAATGGCCTCAAGTTGCACCAGGGGAGGTTTAGGCTAGATATTAGAAAAAAAATTTCCAGTGAAAGAGTGATCAGGCATTGGAACAGGCTACCCAGGGAAGTGGAGGTGTTCAAGAAACGTGTAGATGTGGTGCTTAGGGACGTGGTTGAGTTAGGTGGTGTGGGTTGACGGTTCAATTTGATGATCCTTGAGGTCTTTTCCAACCTTAATGATTCTATGGTTCTAACCAACCAACCAAAAACAATCACAAAAAACCAACCAAAAACCAAACGAACTTTGTAACATCATTTTGACATCAATCTCAGAAATTTACCAAGACAATCCTGTTTATTCCTTAAACATGGGAAAAATGGGATAGAGAGACAAAAGTGCTTGGCCTGTTGTAATCCCTGTAAGTGTAAGAATAGAACCTGGGTCTCTTGACTGACTGCCTAAAGTCTATTTCACTAGCACTAAAAAGAAAAAAAAAAAATCTGTTTTCATTTATCAAGCTACTGTTCGGTATTAAAATGAGTCTTCCAACTGCATATGATAAAGTTGGGATAATTGTCTTTAGACACTTGTAAATCATCTTTCAAACATAATTTGTGTAATGCCTTTCCTCCTGTAAACTGATGAGTTTTTTATGAAGATATAATAATGTATAACTGTAAAATTAATAAAACAAATGGCATAATAAATTGCATGTTTGGTGTTAACAGATTTTATTGCCTTTGTGTCTTCAGGGGCTGATGGAAGAAAACAAAGTTCAGATCACTGTTATAAATCCTAAATCCATAACAATGGGTCAGCTATATGGACAATTTGATCCAGTGTCACATGAATGGTCAGATGGCATCCTAGCAGTGAGCTTCAGAGCATTTGCTTCATCCCAAGTAAGCGCTTGACAGGCTTAGAGCATCTTGGGAAGTTACTTTTCAATTTACGCATTTTAGATTTTAATTCCATGTTTTTTGCACAACCATTGCATGATTCATATGCATAATCATTTAAATGCAGAGATTGCAGTTTGGCTTGATTTTATTACATGATGAAAAGTTTTGTTTGTTTTTTGCATATGTTATAAATAAATGAATATTTAATCTTTCTACCATAGTGTCATTCACTGTTTTGTCAGATTATGGCCCCAATCTGTGTTGTTTATGTATAGGGGCATTTTGATATTTATTTTGGAAGAAACTGCCAAGTGTGGTTTATGACTGACCTTCCAATAAAGTCCATTGAAATATTTTCACTGAGTATAATAAAAGATGTATCTACCTGACAGACACTTTACTTTTTGCTAGCAATTGCAGTATCAGACTCTTTGCCCCGTAAGCTTAAATAAACTAATAGTATATTGACATTGATCAGCATGAAGTTCACCAACTCTAATAACATTTGCAGAACTGCACAACTGCTTTGTATTTTCTTGTAATAAATATGATGAATACCTATGACTATTTGTTTGTATTTTACAAAACCAGAAATATCACTTTTAGATATTACCTTATTCATTAAATTACTGCACACTTACATGGAAGTCAATAGGACTAGGTATTACTGATTAGTAGTAGCTTCTTGTATTAACAGCCTCACTCTGTCATAAGTCAAACTATTTGAATACGTTGCAGTTTGACAAAAGCAAGATACGGCATTGCAAGTATAACTGAAAGAAACCAGTCAAAGATACTAACCTTCTATAGTTAACGACAATATATGTTTTAAAATTATAAAACTATATAGTTATATATGTATAAAACTGTATAAAAAACTATATAGTGAATGTAGATTGTGATTTCAGAAACCGTTGGTGAATACAACTTAGTACTCTGAGTATTTTCAATTACTTTTTGTGGAAAATAACTTTACTGTAAAATAAATATTTTAGATCTAAACATAATATAGTAAATTGCAAATATTTGGTTAAAAATATTTTCTGCAAACCAGACTCCAGATAGGAAATGGCTGATTTTTGATGGACCAGTGGATGCAGTATGGATTGAGAATATGAATACTGTGCTTGACGATAATAAAAAGTTGTGCCTTATGAGTGGAGAGATCATCACAATGTCACAGCAAATGAGCCTTATTTTTGAACCAATGGATTTAGAAGCTGCTTCCCCTGCTACTGTAAGTAGCTGTCTTTGAAAGACTGATTACAAACGTCTCTGATTATTGTGATTTATATTCTAATTTTTGACAAATAACTGAGAAGAGTAATTGTAAGTTTACATTTCTTTGATAAATGTTTAAAATAAAGAACATTATAGCTTGACTTTCTTGTTTAAATTCTTCATGATCTTAAGAAATTATGTGAAAAATTTCATATTTACATCTGTAGTGTAAATTACGCATACAGAAGACCCTGCTACTGTTCAGAGTCTGGCTCTTGCAAGTGCCTGACAAGAAGAATAAAATCATTCATGTGCAAATCTTTACTCTCCCAGACAAATTTTTGTAAAAGCAACAATCACTGCATTTCTGACACCTATCTATATCAATCACACCTATTTTTTCTGATGGCACTTTGTGGAATGCAGACTTTTTCTCTTGAAGATGAATAGAGGTTCAGATAATATAAACACAACAAAATATCTGCATAGTTTTCCTGGGAAGGAATTTTTACTTAAAAATTATATAAAATTTAATTAAGTGTTAAGCACTCTAGTAGTCAGTTTATTATCTGTTGTGACCTTAACATTGGGAACTAATTATATTTAAGAGGAAAATCTGTCTTTGAAATTAGGCCTCCTGTTGGCTGAAGAAATAAAGCTAGGTTTGAAACTTGTCTGTCTTGGGGCTCACAGAACCCCACTGTACACTTTATACCAGCTTCTAATGATCTCACAAGCTGTATGTTATAACACTTAATGTTATTTGAAGTTCTGCTAGATAGGAAAAAAAATTTGGAGATCACATAAGATAACATGCACCTGTTTGTTTGTTTATTTTTAGGTTTCAAGGTGTGGTATGGTATATATGGAGCCCCATTTGTCAGGCTGGAGACCATTAATGATGTCTTGGCTAAACACAATGCATTCAGGAATCAGCTCTGTGCATAAAGAATTTATAATGGGCCTGTTTGACAGAATGGTTCCACTCTGTCTTGAGTTTATTAGGAAATACACAAAGGTAGGATAAATAACTTTTCTGAGAAACTAAGAGTGTATGAATTATTTTCACTTCCAAGTGCCAAAGGAACAAATAATTTTATTTGGCCCATATTAATTTATATTTGTTAATTTTTAAAAAACAGCTGTTAGGGTGAAGGCTGTGAGCAAGTTTTCCGGGTGTATTGTTTAACTTGCTTCTGAATGTGTTTTAGACACATTATCCTGCAGGTTTTTTTATCTTCACAGTGAGGAAAAAACACCCGCCATCTAGCAGTTTCTTTTCAGTGAGTAAAACACACCTGCAACTAAGAGTATTTCTTCTTTCTTTTCAGGAACTGTCTCCTACTTCAGATACAAACTTAATTCGATCACTAATAAATCTGGTGGACTGCATGACGGATGAATTTGCTGATGAAGCCAATGTTAAAGCTATGAATGACCATGACATTTTCTCTTGGCTTGAGGTAGGCAGTTTGTTTAACATACAGAATAGGGAATTCCAAACCAGACTTTAGCAAAATGGACTTACAAGCAATAAAACCTATATTTGATTAACAGAATATGTATTTTGTAATGTCCATTGAGGAATATACTGTTACCTTCTTTATAACTGATACATTGTTGAGTCTGACTTATTTGATGTCTTGATATTAATTTAATGAATTTTATACAAACCTGCCAAATTGTACGTGGTTCTTCAGTTTCTAGTATCTTCGTGTATTACTGGTTAGATCAATGCTATCTAAGGATTACAATTCAAGGAAAGCCCTGTTAACACATGTAGCCATCACTGTATGAGATAGGCCTTTGAATAACAGAAAGATAATTTAAAATGTTCTGGAAAAAAAAGCAGGCTATGCTTGAACTTTCTCAAAATAACAGCTTTGTGCTGAGCAAGTCAGGCATTTTGCTGCACAACAAAGGTGATCAGATGCTGACAGTTAACATAAAAGGTGTTCTCTTTTACCAGCAGTGTGATTCCATACTATATACATAAAATCAAATTGGTCCAGTGTAATTCTACTGTGACATGTGGCAAAGGTTTATTTGACTTCAGTGAAGAAGAACTTTGTAATATACAGGTACTGAAGTTACATTTTCTTTTTTTCCGACTCCAGGGTATTTTTTTGTTTTCACTGATATGGTCCGTAGGAGCTAGCTGTAAGGAAGATGATCGTCTGAAATTTGACAAAGTTGTGCGAGAAATGCTTAATGGACAATTAAGTGAGGAGACAAGAGAACAATACAAATTGTTGAGCGGTATTGATCAACAGCCTTCAAAAGCTTTCACAATCCCATTTCCAACAGAAGGAACAATTTATGATTATCGGTTTGTCAAAAAGGTGAGGATTACAAAATAAGATGTGGACTTCTATTTTTAAGTATTCTTTTATGAATGCTACAAGGTGTGTATTGTTATTTTAAATTTGTTTCTGCTGCATGCTTCTTTATAATTGATTAGGCCAGACATTCATTCTTGCAAACTAGTGATGGTCTAGTGTTCTGGCTGGGACTTGCATTACCAAAGCCTGTCTTTGGCTACCAGAATGATTGCCTGTTTTGGCAGAGCAAGTCTGCAGAAAATCTCAACCAGTTATTTTTTTCTGATATTTTTTTATTCTTGATTTCTTGCAAAATTATTTTATTTTGGGTGTCAGCCCTTTCCTTAGGTTGAGGAAGCACTTGATATACTTTAGGCCATAATGTTTCATTACTGTCATAGGGTATTTCTCTGCCTCTTCTTCTCTGCCTTTTTTTCCTGGGATTGAAATGTGACTCCATGGTGCATCTCTCCCAATGGAGAAGAAAGCTTCACATACTGGATCTAGTATGCTCCACAGACTCCAAGATAAAATAAATGTACCTTTTTCTTTTTTTGATTTTGTCATTCCTGTGAAGTCGTATTGCAGTACAATGAGGATTAACTTTTGTCTAGATTTTAGCTCATGCATGATTCATGTGTCTTGCCAAGGAAAGTAGCTGAAATGTCAATCAGCAGTAAAGGATTTATTTCTTCTGGTCATAATCCATATAAACATGTTCTTACAGTAAAGGGGTTTTTCTTGTTCAGAGGTGCGAATATGCCCCCCTCTAAGAAAGACTTAAGGAGACAGCAATCTCTAGGAATTTCATATGACTTTTATCTTCAGATAGAAATTTGGGGGGGATTTTTTGAGGGCTATTTACAATAAGAAAATATCTTTATATTAATTTACTGATGGAGAGTTTTGACATCTTTTAAGACTCTAGTAAGTTAATATAAAAGAGACAGCTTTGCTGTGGAGCTTCAGCAGTAAAATTCATCTGCCCTCAAATTCCATAGTTTGGAAGTATTTATTATGAATGAGAGTCTGTGAAAAGACTAATTATGTTTTTTTTAGTTTTAGTGGTTAAATTTATACAGTAGTGTCCTATTTTGTTACATATTTACATGATATTTACAATGTATATATAAATACGTCTTTTTCCATTATATATTTATAATATGTATACAGATATAAATGGTGAGATAAAGTCCTTGCCTTTCAGTGGTTGCATGCTTCAGGCACAGGCATTTTGTGTTTCTTTTTAAGTGGGTTGGGGCAATCCCAAGCACAAATAGAAACTGGATGGAGAATGGATTGAGAGTAGCCCTGAAATGAAGGACTTGTCGGGGTGCTGGTAGACGAGAAGCTCAATATGAGCCGGTAATGCGCACTTGCAGCCAACTGTGTCCTGGGCTGCATCAAAAGAAGTGTGACCAGCAGGTTGAAGGAGTTGATTCTGCCCTTCTACTCTGCCCTCGTGAGACCCCACCTGGAGTACTGCGTCCAGCACTGGGCCCCATAACACAAGAAGGACGTTGAGCTGTTGGAGCAGGTCAAGAGGAGGGCCACAGAGATGGTCAGAGGGCTGGAACACCTCGCCTGTGAGGACAGGCTGAGAGAGTTGGGGTTGTTTAGGCTGGAGAAAAGAAGGCTCCAGGAGGACCTTATAGCGGCCTTCCAGTACCTAAAGGGGGCTACAGGAGAGATGGGGAGGGACTGTTTATCAGGGAGTGTAGTGATAGGATGAGGGGTAATGGTTTTAAGCTGAAAGAGAGTAGATTTAGGTTAGGACTTGGCAGGGTTGTGTTTATGGCTGGACTCAATGATCTCAAGGGTCTTTTCTAGCCTAAATGATTCTATGATTCTATGATATTAGGAAGCAATGTTTTCCTGTGAAGGTGCTGAGGCACTGGAACAGGTTGCCCAGAGAAGCTGTGGATGCCTCATCCCTGGAGGTGTTCAAGGCCAGGCTGGATGAGGCTTTGAGCAACCTGGGCTAGTGGGAGGTGTCCCTGCCCATATCAGGGGTGGAACTCGATGATCTCTAAGGTCCCTTCTAACCTTAACCATTCTATGATTCTATAAGTACTCTCAATTGAAAGCGCTGCATTCTGAAACAAACATATGAGATTTAAAAAATCTTTTAAAAAAATTGGTTGATAATCCCATTTGTTAAGTTGTAGAACTTTGATTTTTCTATTTCCATTGGTTCTATGCAGTTTTTTCCTGTTTATTGTAAATGTATTACTTTCATATAAATTCAAATAGGGAGCAGGAGTTTGGGAACCCTGGGTGGAAACACTCAAATCAGCTCCTCCTATACCTCAAGATATGATGTTTAATGAAATAATTGTACCAACTCTGGATACAGTTCGATACATGGCATTGATGGAATTGTTGACAGTGCATCAAAAACCTTCTATATTTGTGGGACCAACAGGAACTGGAAAAAGTACCTATATTACTGTAAGTACTTTTAATACTGACATTAGACATAGTTGTAAAAGGCGTAAGATGAGGACTAATTCAATAACTCTTTTTTAAAAAAAGGAAAATGAGAGATGAATTGTTGGATATTATGAAATGAAATTATGGGGAGTTAAAAATGCAGTTGCATAGGAAATGTGATGCTTTGGGGTTTTTTTTGTTTGGTAGTTTTCTTCTCTGCACTTCCAGACTAAATTCTTAAGAAGCACCCAGATATCCGCTGGAATGAGCTGCTAATAGAATCCAAACAGGACTATTTTGTTTGCTTCCTGTGTTGATTTACTTTGCTTTGTGATTATAGATATAGTTGGGATAGTCCAAACAGATGCTGTTGCACAAAAGTCTAAACCGTTTAATAAGACATCCAGTCAGGATTGCTCAAAACAACAAGAAAAAATTCATATGTCCTAGAGTTAGAAGCAGGAAGAACGTGTTCTGCTATTATTGTGGAAAGGTAGTAGATAACCTTTTCAAGTCGGATGCTACTATGGTCATTCCATGTACTGGAAAAGAGGAAAGAGCAAGAGTTCTGTCACTGAGAGAAATATCAAGGCAAAAAATTAATAGCAGAATTACCAAATAACCTTATAGAAAAAAAAAATATAGTGGGAAGGGGAATTGTCTAGTCAAGGTCTTCCCAGGCAGTTTTCTTCAGATAACCAGTTGGCTATACCTAGTCATTACAATGAAAAGCAGCTGCCCATTTCAAGAAAAATAAATTTTAAATCAAAACAATTGTGTCCTGTTTTATAGAATGCCAAATATTCTTTACCTGTCTTATCCTTGTCTTTGACAAGAAAATGAAAAAGAAAAACAAATAATAGCGATAACCTAATCTGACTTTAGCTTTTTGCAGTACACAATTTCTGTTATTTCTGAAACAAATCTTGTTGGCAAAGAAGATTGATCTAGTTTTAGGATTTTGATCTAGTTGATCTAGTTTTAGGATTTTTGAGCTTGATATGATCTCCTGTAGAAAGGAAAAAAATTGTAGTTTTTTTTCAGTATGTAACCAGTTAATTGTTTCAATGTAATTCTTTCATTTTCTAGGAAGTAGCAATGTCAAGTATTGTTTAATATTTAAAGAAGCTATGTTACACAATTGGTATCTTATATTAGCTATCTTATATGGCCTAATATTGCATATTTCTATATATGACACACACAATACATTAAAAATACTATTAAGGTTGTAAAATAGAGAGTTCAGAAGCTAGTGAATTCTACCTTATACAAAAATTTGTCATCTCTTGTGCATTCATTGTGATAATCTCTTGAATTGCATGATCATATACTTTTTTTCCCCCCCTGTAGGATTACAGTGTTAACACTATGAGTATTAGCCTATTTCCTTTTTTAAAAAAAATTTAAAAAGACAGTTTTAAAAAAGAACCTCTGTTCCACTCGCAAATCGTAAAAAACTTGCAGTAAATTCAGGAATTTCGGGTATGGGTTCTGTCCCTGCCAGTGACAGAACTCCTCTGTAACTGTATACAAGTCACCTAAGTCAAACTTTTGACAGGCACTTATTGTGTTCCTCATTTTCTGGAGGGCTGATTTGAGTTTTGGATTACCTTTCTATATCTTCATACTGGTGTGTACCATAGAAAGCTTGTTAGATAATAATTAATTTTGTGTTTGAATATGATTTGAATTCTGTTTAATAAATAAGATGAGCACTGAGCACTGAAGATAAAACACATCAATAGCTGTTCTTTAAGTGACCACTATGCATTTTTATATTGAAAGAGGCAAGATATACTTAGTTCTGAGTGTGTGTAATGATAATCAAAACCTGATAGTAACAAAAAAAATTAATGTAAGTAATGACTTATTACAGCCAAATGCAATATATATTTTTAGAGCTTGTGAATTTCTAACCAAAGGGTATAGCAATCTTGTACAAAGCATTGTAACTTCAGGTATTAGAATTAGAAATCAAGATAATTTTTTTGGTTATTTTTTCCATGTCTCCAAATATTATTATTATATATAGGTCAGACTGTATAATTAAAATCAGATTTTATTATCTTTCTGAAATAATTGAGTCATTGTTGTTTTGGGATAGAGTATTTACTTTTTTTCATCTTCAGTCACCAAGTTCATTTTCATTTTGTCATGTGGTTATTAAAATGACAATAATGGTAATATAGAAAATTATTCTAATGGTCTAGATTAAAAATTTTAGATAAATTTAAAGTCTTCAGAAAGGTCTGACAGATACTATGGGTTAAATCCTGATATCATCAATCTTTCTGGGAGACTATTAAAGCCTGACTGGCAATGTAACTTTGCCAATAGAATGCTCATGTTGTTGTCGGTCACTTACAGAACGTTCTGAATTCGACATTTTTTCAGTGTTCCTGGGAACGCTTCAAAACTAGGCATAAAATTTGGACCTGTACTTTTGAAAATTTGGGTGTGAGTTAGTGTAGACAGTATATATCAACTCTAATTAGTACTATGAAGTATTGTGTGTGCAAAATATTATCACACTGAATTTATATAACATACTAGGTAGGTTTTTTTTAGAAAATGTCTATATTGGAGGTAGAAATTTATCTCTGACAAATTAAGTTTATTATATTTTGAATTATTGAAGAATATTGTTTTATCTGATGAAATATAATTATTAGCGTTATCTTAGAGATAAATTACTATTTTATAATCTTAAATAAAAATTGTACAAAAATGTCTGTTTGATTGCTATTTGCTAGTGCTATAAATTTTTTTTATCTATGTGTGTAGTGTAAATTTCTCCTCTTCACAATCCTTCCAGAATTTTCTTTTAAATAATTTGAATAAAGAAGTCTACAAGCCACTGCTCATTAACTTTTCAGCACAAACTACAGCAGGTCAGACTCAGAATATTATAATGTCCAAGCTGGACAAAAGGAGAAGAGGAATTTTTGGACCTCCTCTTGGAAAAAGAATGGTAACTGATATATTTCTGTATGTAAATAAATGTTTAAATGCAAGCAAATATGTAAATGCATTATTTTCTCAGGCGATATCAAGAAAGGATGCTCAATTTGAAATAAACTGTCAGGGCTCTAATTCTTCTAGTTTAGATACCCATGGTTCTCTTCTTCTTTCCCCCTTCTCCCAGTAATATGCATCCTGTTTTAATGAACAAAAGAAAATGTGATATATGATATGGTATTAATAACTGTGAACGGCATTGTCATACTTCCCCCTCCATATTTTATGGTATTATTCTTGAGATATGAGTTCTATATGGGTAAGCTCGTTGCTGGTATGAAGTAAGTTTTGAGAAATCAGCATTGAGCATGAGGAACTAGATGAACTCCAAGGTTCCTGTCAACCTGGATAGTTCAATGATTTTGGAAGCATTAAAGGATATTTAAGTCTTTTGTGTTGTTATCACTGATGCCTGACAGACCCTTCAAGATTGATGGAACTCTGAGTACTCAGGACTCAGATATTAGAATAGACCTCTTCTTCTTATTTCTCCTGCAGTGAGCAAATCCTTTTCTCCTCTATCTAGAAGAGTTGCAATGAGACTGAAAATTGAAATCTAAGGAGTTTCCATGATTTCTTTTTTTTCCCCCAATCCAGATTAAGGAAAAATTTGGCTTTTAAGGAAAATTTCAAAATTATTAAGTTTAAAATACAGTAATAGATATGTATGATTTAATACTGGTATTTTTAGGATGCTATAGACTTTTCATATTTGCAGCCTTGTTTTTTTTCTTATTTTCAGTACTTCCTAGCTATTATTTACTAAATGCTTGTTATCAAGAGCAAAATGTGTTCATGTTAGAAGTTCCTTAAGGAAGTACCGTTTAAAGTTTTTTAAAGGTGTTTTAAGGTCTTCCCCTGCCTCCCCCCCCAAGTTATTATTTTAAGATGTATTTTAGCCCAGTCTTAAAAATGTAAAGATACTTTGAAGAGATAAATTGTCTTGATCCGTATTAGTTAAGAACACTTCAAACCATTTCAGTACATTGCCCAAATTGCAGTGCTAAATAAGATACAAGGACCATGATTTGACCTGTTTTTCTTTTGACCAAATTTCTACTCTGTATCAGAGAATGAGAAGAAAGGGGGATAAAATGCATAAATGTGTTTCTAGAACTTGCATCAGTTGCATTAGGTTAGTTGTGTGAAGATGTTTCCTGATCAGCAGCAGCCTATACTTTAGGAACAGCATTGCAATGAAAGATGTAATGTTTAGTAGATTTAAAAACAGAACTGTAGTCTTACTGAAGTTTGAAATTTTTGTGGGTCTTCTTGACTCCATCTTTTTTTCCAAGAAAAGCCATGTAAGTAGCACAGTAAGGTTTAAATAGCAGGTATTATTGTGCCATCTTTCGTTAAATACACTCAGAAATAAGAAGAGAAGCACAGTTCTTCTCTCTTCTATAGATATGTTTTGTAATGGCTTTAGAGTGGCACTGTTACTTCTTAAGTTTGATTTTTATTTAACTCAACAGCAACTCCACTAAGAGTTTAGAGCCACTTCTCAGAAATATTTATTTATGTGTACTACTCCCGTTAATTGTAATGGGAGTGAATTGATGTGCAGTGTTTCCAGAATCAAGCAAAATGGTGGCATATATTCAGTAAAATAAATAAATGCAAAATTCTTTATTTTTTCTTTTCAGGTTGTATTTGTAGATGATGTTAATATGCCAGCACGAGAGGTCTATGGTGCTCAGCCGCCTGTTGAATTACTAAGGCAGTGGTTAGATCACTGGAATTGGTATGACCTTAAAGACTGCTCAATGATTAAACTTGTAGATATTCAGATTGTGTGTGCAATGGGACCACCAGGTAAGAGATGTATCTTCTATGCTTTTTCCTGTTTCTTTGGTTTCTTTGGCTGAATACTTATTGATGCATAGCTTTACAATTTGGGTCTTTATGGCTAGGATAGGGCTCAAGGGACTGAGATTCTTCAGCAGATACTAGTAATGCATGCATAGTTAAATATCAGTCACTAGTTCTGCCTGCAGTCTCAGGTGGTTGAATGTGAAACAGCTCCAGGCCAGGAGTATTTTAGTTTCATTATTGCAGAGTCATGCCTGAGCTACAAAGTCACGTATTTTAAAAGAACTTACCATGCTAATTTGGTTGCCTTTATGCTACTGATGTTAGGAATGGTAGATTGCCCACTTCTCAGCTACTTTTTTACTAATATGCTTCTATAAGAAGGTTGACTACACCATGCAGCAGCTTAACCCTGAATTCCAAACAGAAGGATCAAGTATCCAACAAATTTCTATTTTGAGTCCCCTTATTTCCATACATAGCTTCACTGTCCAAATCACAATCTAGGCATAAAAAGCTATTAGCTCTAGGAACTGGGATAAAATTTAAATTGAATGAAGTATACAGCATTACTTGTAAAGGCTTCTTTCTTTGAGATGCTTTGAAAATCAAGAGCATGTGTAAGAAGTTTATAATAAACGTTTTATAACAGAAGCATAATTAAAATAGTGTCAAATCTATCTATCTGTAACTTGATGATTTCAATCTGTATTTTACAGACTATCAGTTACAGGAGAACAGATCAACACTGAACTGCATGTTCAGCTTTTATTAGGTTTCTGACAAGGTGTGGTACTTCTTGATGTGAGCCTGCTAGCTGAATCAAAGATGAATATTAGAAAAAAATGGCTAGGCTTTTACTGTTATATTTTACATTTTTCTGTTAGTTATAGTATTAATGCTTTCTAATATTTAGGCGGTGGTCGAAACCCAGTAACACCACGATTCTTGCGCCACTTCAATACTGTTACTATTAATGAGTTTGATGATGAATCCATGTACACAATTTTTTCTAGGATCTTAGACTGGCATCTAACAGTATGGTAAGTGACCTTTATGGATTGGGAAAAATCAAAGTCAGTGTTTAAATCATGGTACTAGGAAGTCTCCAAGGTACGTTTGTAGGACACTGCTTTTTGAAAAGGAATTACGATTTTTTTATATCCTGTGCCTTTTGAGTTATTCATTACTCCACATGAAGTATAGGGCTCATCTTAAAATACACCAATGGTAAAGTTCTTGTTCTGAAGCCTCTAACAGAGTTTTAGGTGAGCTGAGGCTAATTCAGTTAGTTGAGGTATTTCTGTAATAGAGTATTCTTTGATGTATAATAAATAAGAATAGAATTTGGTTAGTCATTATTCAAATAGAACTGGAAACTGCTCTTAAATTTCCTGTGGTTTTAGAAGGCTTACTTTTTCTTTGGCCTTTCACCACTGCATAATTTTTAATTCCATTATTAGGAATGGACTTCAACCGTCATTGTCTATTCATTCTGAGAGCTAAGTCCTTTCTGGGGGGGTACTCGTATCCTGTTTTCAGACCAAGTTTGTGATCTGACAGCTTCTGACCCTTTCAGGGAGAGAGATCCTAGAAGACAGCAAGGGCTATTAGACCTGACTTTTCTGTTGCTGCTGTTAGTCATAAAAATGAGTGGGGGGGAAAGGGTATCATTAGCTGTCTAACATAGCCAAATTTGTCAGCATGTTCCACAGTTACTAGATTTGCGTTGCAGAGTTGTTAATCCAGTGAGAGAACTAAGATTTGTAAAACTAAAACTTCCTGTGAGGAAGTATAATCAAGTATAATCATAGAACTTAAAAACTGTCATGAATTTACAAGTAATTTAGTGTACATATTTATTAATTTATGTGCTAGCATGATGGAATTACGAGAATCATTCTGTTCCTACCACCTTTTATAACTTGTCAGTTACAGCTTTCCATCACAGTATGTAGAACTGACTCCACAAATTATTAATGGAACCATGCATATGTATAAAGAGGCTATGAAGAATCTGCTTCCTACCCCAGCCAAATCTCACTATTTGTTCAATCTCCGTGACTTTTCACGTGTTATTCAAGGTGTTTGCCTGTCCAGGCCTGAAACAACAGAAACTGCAGGAGCAATAAAACGTCTCTGGGTTCATGAGGTAAATCACCTTATACTAAGAAATTATATTTATTATAAATGAGAAAATGTGTAGATTTGTGCATTAATCTTTTGGTATTGCCATCTCCTATTTGCTAAGAGCTGTGAATTGGTATCACACTCCTGTCTTTCAGTCATAATAGGATAGATACATTGCAAGAGTTAATGTGAAGCATCCATTTAAAAATAGGAGGAAAAAGCCCCATATAGGTAATACCTGCTCTTTGGTTTTTTTGTTTTTTGTTTTTTGTTTTTTTCTCCTGGATTACAAGAAAACAAGGTCCTTGATAATTGTTGCTTTTAAAATACTTAGCTATAGTTCATAGAATCAAATCAGCATAAAGTGACTATTGAAGAGATCTTTGGTGATTGTCTAGCCTATCATCCTTCCTCAAAGCAGGATCACATAAAGAAAGGAACAACAGTAACTTTTGAAGTTTTTTTTTCTAAAAATTTCTTAAATTCTCTAAGGATGAAGGATGTTCAGACTTCCAGGCAATCTAGCCATGTTCTTCACTAGCTTTTACATTAAAAACATTTTCTAATATCCAGGTGCAATCTTTCTTGAAATACAAACCCGTAACTTGTCCAGTCTAGCTGTAGTGGAAAAAACATCATGTTCCCTTCCTCTTTGCAGCAGCCTTTTATGCATATATGTAACAACGCTTATAAATGTATATATCTCTACGTGTGTGTGTGTGTGTATGTATTTCTCTATGAATTTTCACTTTAATTTAGAGGTAATATTACTGGGCTCAACTGTTCAAATTAATTCTAAATATCTATTAGGTTTTTTTCCTATGTAGTGAAGTTCAAGATAATTTATATTTTGAAGCCCTTTTCAGGATTATATTTGTTATATCTTGTTTAAAAGTAGTATAAATTCAAGAGCAGAAACAACTATTAAAAGAATTATGTTTTCATTATAACAGGTTCTTAGAGTGTATTATGATCGCTTGGTGGATAATCCTGACCGGGCTTGGCTTGTTGGATTTATCCAAGAAGTAGTGAAAAATGACTTACAAGAAGATTTTAATGAACTTTTCCAGAATCTGGACTTCAACAATGATGGCAGAGTGGAAGAAGATGACTTACGTAGCTTAATGTTTTGTGATTTTCATGACCCTAAGAGAGAGGACACTAAATACAGGGAGATTAGCGATGTGGATCAATTGAGATTGGTTGTAGAGAGTCACCTTGAAGAGCTCAACAACATGAGCAAAAAGCCAATGCAGCTTGTCTTGTTCCGATTTGCTATAGAACATATTTGTAGAATTTCACGTATTCTGAAACAGCCTCGCAGCCATGCCCTCCTTGTTGGTGTTGGAGGTAGTGGTCGACAATCTCTTACTCGATTAGCAGCCCATATGGCTGAATACAACCTTTTTCAGGTTGAAATAACTAAAAGTTATGGTATCAATGAGTGGCATAAAGACCTAAAAGTCATACTAAGAAAATCTACTGAAGGGGAAATGCAGGGAGTTTTCTTGTTCACAGATGTGCAGATTAAAAAGGAGTCATTCTTAGAAGACATTAACAACTTACTAAATGCAGGTGAAGTGCCAAACCTCTTTGCAATAGATGAGAAGGAAGAAATTTGTGAAAAAATGCGTCAAGTAGATCGCCAGCGGGATAGGGCAAAACAGACAGATGGCAGTCCTATAGCTCTTTTTAACATGTTTGTTGATCGCTGTCGGGATCAGCTTCATATAGTACTGGCAATGAGTCCCATTGGAGATGCTTTCCGTAATCGCCTTCGTAAATTTCCAGCTCTTGTCAACTGCTGCACGCTAGACTGGTTTCAGGTAAAATCAAAACTTTTTGTTGGGCTTGTTATTCTAATGGAAATGCAATAGAAACATGACTCCAACCTTTTTTTGTAGCAAGTAATTATCTTTGGTCAAGTTAGCAGTGAAAAATGTCTTGAATTTTCTTAGTGTCATGTTTTAAATTGTTTACACCATTAGAACTATTCTGACTGTAATAAACGCCAGTATAGGCTGAATGCAAAATAATCAAGAAAATAACTGTCTGATTGTGGTATAAGAGTATTACTGAATGAATATAGTACTGTAGACATTACAGATTTAAATATGTAGTGTTTTCTTCTGTTACCAGGACTACCAGAATCTAGGGTGCCAAAAAAGTTTGAAACTGAAATGCCTGTCAAAAATACAGACATCTTTTGATGCAGAATGCCAGATTTTTACCCACTACTCTGAAATAAAACTATATTCTATCTGACTGTTATGTGCAAAAGACCTTAGAATATTTAAGAAGTAGAATTTAATCATATAAAGATTCTAAGGAACTTAAATTCCATCAAGTTTTAAAATGGAGTGCTCTATCTTTAGTTGTTTTGAAGAAAAAGAGCGTAGTTACACACACGTATGGACATACTGAAAATGCAAGATTTTCCTTTTAGTAACAGTATTTCTACTGGATGAAATAAGACAGTGGGCTTGAATGGAATCCTTAAGTAGTTTGGTGCTTTCCAGTTCTGTTATTGTCCTGTTTGATGGTCTTTTCATCAAGAAATAATTTCTCCGTGCGTCAATAGCTTTATCTATGAAATGGGGTAAAGATACTTTATTCAAAAAAGTTTTGAGAATTATGAGTGTGAAGTACTGAATAAGAGAAAGGTATTTATTAATTTGTTTTAGCCATGGCCTGAAGATGCATTGGAAGCTGTTGCATCTCGCTTCTTGGAAGATGTTGAAATGTCAGAAGAAACTCGAAGTGGGTGTATTGATATGTGTAAAAGCTTTCATACATCTACCATTGTTTTATCTGACTTATACCATGCAGAGCTTCAAAGACGCAACTATGTTACACCTACTTCATACTTGGAACTGATCTCCACTTTTAAAAGTCTACTTGAAAAGAAACGCACGTAAGGATTTATAATGTGACCTTTTACAGAAGAACCCAAGTTCACCAAAAATGTTATTTTCTATTTCTTATAGCTAATCTGAACAAAACAAGTGAATTTTTCTTAGTTATTTTAAATTGACAGAATGGTAGATGGATAAAATGTACTCTTAGGGCATGTGCTGCCTTATTGGACAAAAGGTCTGACTTTATACTCTCAAAATATACTTGCATTAGATCACTTCTAACATTCCTGGAGATGTTGTTGTATGTTGATTATGTATATTATGCTACCAGAATAACTACTGCAACCTGCTTACTCTGTGGTTTTCTGGAGGATGTGGGGAAGATGACATCTGGGAAACCAGCTTCCAAGTTGCTAGTTGCAGCTGTCCCTAGAGCCATTCACACTCTGCTGCTAAAATGATTTTCGCAGTTATATTAGTCTTATTTCAACCTCACCTCAAATCATAATCTTCATATGTATATCCCAATCTCCTCCCACTCCTTTTCTTGTCTGTTGCTACTGTGCCATCTTGATTTTGCTCCTGCCAACAAAGTCAGAAGCTTAACAATCATTTGTTTACCTATAAGCAATCACTTATTTATCTATATCCCATTCTGAGTGTACATGTTAGAATAGTTTAAGACTATGTCTCAAGTAAGCCCTGCTATGTTTACTATTTGTTGAGCAAACAAAAGAAGATTGGCAGACAATTTGATTATTCCAAATGGTGAGAAATTTGGGGAATGTTATGACAGTGAATGAAGTGATCAAGTACTGATAAAATATCTTTGTAATAAAGTACTATTTATTTTCAGTAAAGTGATGAAAATTAAAAGAAGATATGAAGTTGGCTTGGAGAAACTGAACTCTGCTGCATCTCAAGTAGCCTTGATGCAGTCTGAGCTGGAGGCTCTGCAACCTCAGTTACGGGAAGCTAGCAAGCAGGTTGATGAGATGATGGTCGTTATTGAAAAAGAATCTTTGGAAGTAGCCAAAACTGAAAAAGTCGTGAAAGCTGATGAAGCAGAGGCAAATGAGCAGGCTATGGCTGCAAAAGCCATCAAAGATGAATGTGATGCTGACTTAGCAGAAGCCATGCCTTGTTTAGAAAGTGCTCTGGCTGCCCTTGACACTCTTACTGCACAGGTATGGCTAACAATGCATATTTACGCACTAGAGAGGTATTCTGATATAAAAAAGTGTGGAATATCTGCCTTTTCAGATTTTACATTACACTTGCACAGTTTTATTTAGAAGCTTCTTGAAATATTTCAGTTTGAAAAAGCAAAATGTTATTTTGTCTTTATTTTCTAGTGAAAAAGTTATAATGCTAAAACTTTATGGGCAAGATCAAATATTATTCTAGACATTTCATAATTCCTAGTTATTAAAATATTTTGACTCAACAATTGAGAAGTTAGAAAACATGTTTTTTATGTTCTTATTCAGAACCTGACAGCCTGTCAACTAATATTTTTATATCCAGCCTTTCAGAGTCTAGAAATTGAGATTGAAATTCTGTGTCTCCCTATGTTAAGGGATCACTCTTCATAAGGGTATGACAATGGAGGCAGCCACCTTTTGGTTTTATGGATATTTAGGTTTTCTTTGCCTGGATAATGTTTTGCTTATGGTGGGATGAAAGGAAGTCTCCCAGATGGACTATGATGACAGATGGACTATGAGAGTGAGGATGGACTATATACTCCAGCTATTGTTGCTGAAAACAAGATTTTAAAAAACTTTCAAGGCAACCTTCTTAGATAGAAAGCAGGTGATTTGTTATCTGCAGGTATTGCTTGGTATCAAAATTTTAGATTCTGAATTTAGATCATTGTCATGCTTTGTGAAAATAGTAGATGGCTACTTAGTCACTTCAAGACAATTGCATTATACTTGTGAATAACAAGACAAGAACGAGGCTTTGAAGGCTAATGAAGTAATACTTCAGCTGCTGCCAATGTTTATTGTATCCAAGAAGGGAGTGCTATAATACTAGAGGAAAACAAATGTAGTAGGAACTTCCAAGGGAAAAAAACCCAGACATTGTTTCCTCAAAATATAGTTAAATAGCATGATGAACACAAAAAAAATCTGTGCATAGGAGAGATTAGAGTATCTGTACAGAACTCTTGGTTTTGATTTACCCTTCACCCTGGCCACCACTGACAGAAAGCAGAGCAGGACACATATTGTAAATTGCACCCCGAAATCGATGTACGTAAATGTGTAGATTAAGGGCTTTGTTTGGAGAAACAGACCTATATATATAATTCAGTCCTGCTGGAATGATTATCTAAAATGAAAAGGAACTATGTACCTCATGTGGCTCATTGTTCAGTGAAAGTATAACTATTTTAACTGTTATTTTGCTGTTGACTTTGAAATTTTGTAGCAATACACATATGAAGATACTGGGAGTTAGAACTAAGAAGGGACCTGTGGAAGTCATCTTCTTCCACTTGTAATCTGTTCCACTTTACACTTTTAGCATTAAGAAGATTTTCCTGGTATTTACTGTTAATCTTACTCATCACAACTTAAACTGGTTTTCCCTCCTGCTCTCTGTGGACATGGTTCTTTATCTTTTATCCAGTTAAAGACTGTATTAATTGATTTCACCACTTCCAGTTTTCTTTTCTGTAAGCTAAGTAATGACTATTCATTGCTCAAAGTTGAATACAGTATTTCAGCTTTAGTTTTGCTGAATGCTGTGTAGAGGTGGATTATTGACATGTGTAGTTTGTCAGTCATGCTGACAGCCATATCGTTTCCTGAAAATCACTATTACATAATCATTGCTTTCCCTTTTTTTTTTTTAATTTTTGTATTAGTTCTACTATACTTGTCCATTTCTGCAATTTATCAAGATATTTTTTCCTGTTTGTTACTCAAGTGTATTTGCATTTACTCTCAACTTTCTGTTGGTTGGAAATTTAATAAATGCATTCTCTTTTCCATCATTCATTTTGGTTATGAAAATATCACATAGGTCCCAGACCTGTGTGACCTTGATTAAATCTTTGCCATGTTTTGCCAGTGTTATCAATTGTGCTAGCCACTTACAGTTAACCTAAAAGGTTAACCTAAAAGAGACATCAGTTTAAAAGAGCATTAACATTTTGACTCTGTATGTCATTTACTAATGTCTCACCCTTTTCACTGACTACCTAGCCAGCACTTTTCTTTCTTTTCTTACTGTTACTGTAGTTATAGAATTTTTCTTGTTATTTTTCATATTGCTTTAATTGCATATGGGTTTGAGTTTTGCCTTTAACATAGTCTCCTACTCTGCTTACAACCCTTGATTGTATTAAGTTAATTTGTATTTGTCCTTAATTTTGTTTCCTGGAATGGCTGTCTAACTTTGATTGTTCTTCCTGTCCAAGGACTTTCTTCCCTGGAGACCCAACAGCCAGTTTTCTGACTGCCTCATTGAAATTCCCTGGCTTTATTTACCTGCTCTTTTTTTTTTTTTTTTTTTCCCCTCTCCTGAACACTTGTGTGGTTGCAGTTTTTGGTTGTGGGGGGGGAGTTTTTTGTTTCTTTTGGGTTTTTTGTTTCTTTTGGTTTTGGGGGGTTTAGTTTGTTCTTTTAAAAAGCTCGTAGCTCCAGGAACCTATAGTTCACAGTTTTAGGGAAATAATTGTCTTTTTTTTTTTTTTTAATTCAGTCTTAACATTTTTCTGGTTTTTGTGGCATAAATTAACATCCCCAGAACTCAAAAGATACCTCTCTCTTTCTAAATTGTCAGGGTTTTAAACCTCAAAGAAACCATGGGCAAGATCTCAAAATCTAACCGTATCTGGCAAAATACACACGAGAATCTAGAAATCCTTTAATTTGTTGGAGTGCGTATTCTTTAAGAAAAGCTGATAGAAAAAGTAAAAATTTCCATGCAGAGTTATTCCTTGGGAAGAGTTAAGAGAGATTATTCTCCATAAATCTTTAGTTTACAAACCTCTTGCTTGATTAGTTTTACATACATGTATAGAAGTGTTTCATTCTATTATTCTATATTTGCTGTTAAAACTTTGCTTATTCTTTTCTTTGTATAATTTCAGTATCTCTTACCCAATAGTTTTTTTCCGTTTAGCTGCCTCTTCCCTCATTCAGCTCACTCTGAGAGTTTAATAACTGACCAGAATACGAATTGATTTATTTTCTGTACTTGGAGAGCATACATCTTTAGTTCTGGGTTGAAGGCAGCTCTTCTTATCTTAAATCTACTAATGCACTGCTGATGTGATCCTGTAAGCTTGGAAGTATTGTGTTAGAGCCTGAACTGAAGGGTATTGCATAATGCTGGAACATCTGAACTCCATATCTGATGTGCAATGCCTGCTACTGAATTAGGAAAAAAACCCCCACAATTTAAAAAATTAATGATGATAATTTTTGCCTCCTCTAAAATGATGGTTGACTAGAGTTCAGATATTTTTGGGTTTATGTCAGTGTTAGTTTAACCTGCATATCACCTTAAAGAAAGGACTAGAAAGAATGGAAAAAAATGATATAAAAATTTTGCAAAAATAATATATAGGTATGGACTATGCCAGCTTGTGTTATGAACTTGAGATCATAGTTATTTAAAGTTATCAAGTATGAGAATAAAAAAATGTATATGGAAAAATATTATCTTGGCATAAGAAGAGTTGTTATTTCTATTGTAATGGAAGAATTAACCCACCTATGTTCAGAGCTCTAAAGGTATTTTTTAAATTATCATTTTAAGGATATTACAGTGGTTAAGTCCATGAAGAGTCCTCCGGCTGGTGTCAAGCTTGTAATGGAAGCTATATGCATCCTTAAAGGCATCAAAGCAGATAGGATTCCAGATCCAAGTGGTTCTGGAAAAAAAATTGAGGATTTCTGGGGTCCTGCTAAGAGACTTCTGGGTGACATAAGATTTCTTCAGTCTCTTCATGAATATGACAAGGATAACATTCCTCCAGCTTACATGGCTATCATAAGAAAACAGTATCTTACAAATCCTGAGTTTGTACCAGACAAGATTCGAAATGCTTCCACAGCAGCAGAGGGTTTGTGCAAATGGGTCATAGCCATGGCGTTTTATGATGTGTAAGTATGTATTAAAAAAAAAAAAAAGGTTAAAATTGATTAAAGAGCTCAGTTTATTTTAACACCAAAAGAGATGTGAATTATTTCTTATTAGTGTGAAACTTGTGCAAACAAGCAGTCATAAGGATTCATTCTTGTAAGATACCTGATGCTAAGGTATAGAGCCTGATTTTCAGTTCTCATTTTTTCTAAGGCAGCATGGGAGCAACAATCTGTTCAGTTAGCAAGTAAAGTTAGCCTCCTTTTAGAGTGTTGCACAAAATACGGACATTAATGAAACGTCTTTGGAAGTTTCTGATAGTCGTATCAAGACTGAAGGATATTTTTTGTTACACAATTTAGTTGATGCACTGAAAAAGTGTGCTTAATTTTTATGATATTTCCTAATTTGAAATGTCTGGAACTCACATTTAGCAGTAAATCAGCACTGGATGACTAAGGTCAACTTGCATTTTGAAAGTTGACTCATGGTAGGTAGCGGATAGCTTCATTTGAGATGACATTGTGTTACTTGACTAAAAGATTAGGAAATTGCATAGTTGGTAGAATTCTCAATTTGAGAACAACAAGTACAAATTGTTAGAGAGAAAATTAACTAAAATAGATCCTTGGACATTAAAAGCTGTTAATTTTATTATTTTCTGTACACAGTTGGCTGTATATGTGCATACAATGTCTTTGAGTGTTACTTAATATATATGATTACTTTTGCGTTTCTAATGGCACAAATCTATAATGGATTCTAAATTGTGATCAAATGGGACATAGTTTGGAAGCATAACTGTTTTTGCTTTTAGTCGTTACCTATTATAGAAGAGTTTGCAGAAACTGCATAAATCAGTATCAGCACAGAAACAAGTGATTAAGTAAAAACCATTGTCTTCAGATATCATCAAATTATGAAAAAGAATAGTGCATGAGCTACTGAGTTGCTGAGGTTTCCCTTCATCTTTCCTGTGTTCATTTTTTTAATAATAACCCTGGAGTGAGGATGTACTTTCAGATGTTTAATTTATTCTTTTACTTTATTTAGAGTGGCAAAAAATGTTGCACCCAAAAAGCTAAAGTTGAATGAAGCTGAAGGAAAACTAAAGATTGCTATGGAAAGTCTAAGAAAGAAACAAGCAGACCTGAAGGAGGTTCAAGATAAATTGGCTGTACTCCAACACACACTGGAATCCAAGAAACAGGAGAAGGCTGACTTGGAAAATCAGGTATATGATGCAAAAGATTAATTATTATCCTACTGATATTCTGAAAAGTTATTTTAAATTTGCTTTTTTGTCAAATGGGATTTTTCCTTTTAACTGCCAATATGTTGAACAAGTTCTACTTTTAGAGAATCATGTTTTTATTTTAGTGTAATTCTCTTGAAGTTGTAAACAGGCAAAGCATGCGGCAAAAATGCTTTAAAGTAATAGAAAATGTAGATGTTACGAATTTATCAACCGAAACCCCTCTCCTACATCCTTGTTCATATCTGCTTTCTTGTGAGGAGATAAATTTTCAATGATTGTACGAAGAGTTTGATTCATCCATTAACTTGCAAGTCAATACATTTAAAGTTTTGAAAGTTCATTTATGGCTTCTGTACCAATGCCGTTTTGATAATGTTTTTGGTAACCTCTGTTCCTGACTGCTAAATAGATATTATGTGTGCAGAAATAGGCAATATTTAGAAGATTATTATTTTTTTAAAAAATGCAGTACATCATCTTGAGCTTTTTTTATAAAAATAGTATTGGAATTTGAAATGGAGCCTTAATTCCTGTCTGTAGTTAAACTCAGCTCTTTGTGTGTTTCTTCTGCATCCTGATACGGTTTGGAAGTACCAGGGAGGGATAAACTACACAACCAGTTTGTTACTGGCTGCTATGGTTACTAGGAGAGAGGATTGTAACAGCATCATTTTCTTCCTGTCCCGTGGCTGAAATGTGTCTCTACTAGATAGTAAAGAATTCTAACAGAGCTGGATTAAAGTCCTGTTAAATCATATTTTTCTGTTAGATTTAAAACATGCCTGGAAAGATGACTTGGTTAAAATCCGACAACAGAAATGCAGATTATGTATTCATAAAGACTTTTTTTTGCAGAAAAGAACGTACCTACTTTCATGAGACAGTGATCTTTTTAAGGTGTTTTTGTTTCTCTAATGACATGTAGATAATTTAATTGACTATTAATATTTTCCAGGTCCTGTACAGAGCTATTTTGAATTCTGTGTTTTATATCAGTCTTCTTCCTTTATTTGGATGAAAATGTAGCTGAATAGACTTTATTGTGCTGGTAATGAGATTGTTTTTGTTCTTTAAGCATTTCCATTAAAATAAGGTGATTTCTTTCTATTTGATGCAATTACTTCAGAAAACTTCTGCACAGGAAAATAATCCTTGAATGCTTTTAACATTTGTAAAATGTCCTTAAAGTGATCATGTAATGTAATCAGCAATTTTTTTATTCTGAGGTTGACTTATGCAGCAAAAAACTACAGCGAGCAGAACAATTGATTGGTGGCCTTGGGGGTGAGAAAACTCGTTGGCATGAGACTGCTTTGGAGCTGGGAAGGCAGTACGTCAACTTAACTGGAGATATACTTATTTCATCAGGAATTGTAGCTTACCTAGGAGCCTTTACATCCAACTACAGACAAGTAATATGTACAGCGATTTTGTCCCCATTTTTGTAATAATCTAGATTTTAATAATTTTTTTCTAATATAGAGTTTATATTTTAAAATTATGTTTTAATAGAATTCGTAAGTGGAACTGAAACTGTATTGTAGGATTTTGAATTTTGTTTGTAAGACTGGGGGGAAATTATTTCTTTGTTCTACTGTAAAGTACTTACTGCTGTGTAAAGCATGGAGTCGTTTGGTTGCTCTGCTTCTCTAAAGCGATTACCAGTAACTTTATACCTCATGGCTCTGGTTACTCCTATTCCATTCAATGGCTAAATTCTCCTTCAAAGAAAACAGAATTAGCTTCTATTTCAGCAGCAGCACAATTAAGCAAGTTCTGAAAGTGGAGTAATTCTGTGCAAAAAGAGGCAAAGATACAGCAGCTCAATGACATAGCAGATCTGTGCCTGTAACTCTTAGTGAAACAAATGGAAATTCTGAATACAAAAAAATTTTGATGTGGCAGCTGATTTTAGATTATAATAATTTTTGGATGTCAAAATGACCCAGACTTTGAAAGTTTTTGAACACCAAAACATGCAACTGAATTCATCTGAAGAACTTAATGTCCATTTCTTTTGAAAATCAGGTCCAGGGTATCAAAAATTTATAAAAATTAAGAGAGAGAGAGAGAGAGAGAGAGAGAGAAAAATCAATGTACCTTGTTTGAACATAGATTTGGATATAATCCTTATTTCCACTTTTCCTTCAATGTACTTCATATGTCCATTTTTCTTAATAAAACTTTGTACTGTTCTTTTAAACAATTATTTTCTTCCTAATGTCCGTATTGTGATATTACTATTTTAAAACCTTATAGGGTGAGAGTTTATGGTGTGAGTATTTATAGCATAAATAAATAGTCAGCAATTTTTACAATTCCAAATTACATAATTTCGAGAGAGTGCTCTCTATGATGCTTATAACCTGCCTCGTTTATAACATTGTCTCTGGGTAGATGGAAGTACTTTTGGTTAAACATCTTAAGGGCTGCTGAACTGTATTCTAGGCCAGTGTAGATACAGGTGCAGATGGTATTCCTAAAAGGGAGAGACATCTGCATGGTTATTCACTACAAATGAATACATAGTGGTTTCATCTGAAAGGTTTAATGTAATTTAATTCTCTCTGCATAGTTTCTTTTTCTGTGCAACAGTAGGTATGGATTCCTGTGGATTTATTCTTAGTCTTGTGATTGTGCAGACACACATTAGTTAGGTATCTTTCAGAAATTGTTGGATAGCATGATCACTTCTGTGCAGTTCTTAATTTCTTGGTTTTTTTTCACCCTGCAGTTTTCATAAAAGTTACAGTATCTTTTGGAATATCAAGTTTGTTTTATGCAAATTGATGAATCCTTCATTCACCACCTCTGTGAATGTCTCTAGCCCTTGGACGATTTCCTTTGACACTTCATTTCTGAGTTATGTTGCTTGAGGCTTTGCCAGCTAATTTTTAGTTTAGAATACTACAGCATATTTCTTTGACCTTACACATAGCTTTCATACCAGATTGTGCCTTTCATATGAACATGCTATTTCTAGACATTTTCCTTCTTTAGAAGCATTCTTCCTAGTGGGATACGCTTTTTGGTTTAAATATTTAAAGGTGTGTGTCTTCATTATTATTATGCAACATACAAACATGTATACTTTACAAAACTGTAGTGAGTTAGATGATACAGAGAATAGTGAAAAGCAACTCCGAATGATTGTTAAGTTGTTAAGTTTGGTTAAGTCCTGGCAAGTGCTCATTACATGTGTCCTGAGAGTTAAATAATGAAGATTTAAATTTGGTTTTAGTTAGAATGTGTGCATTTGTTCTACACTTATTTTATAGTATAGAAGACTACTGCTGGAATGGTAAATAAAATTATACCAAGGGTCTGGCCAAATAAACTTTTATTTAATATGTAGAAATAACATGCAAAGACATTTTTAGACATTTTGTACAGAAGGATGTGTTTCTTTCCACTTGAAGTATAGTGAACTTGTATGTAGCAACTGTTATGGGAAATGGGTTGAAAAATACATTTTGAAATTTGAAAAGTCTGTGAATAAACAGAACCTCAGTTAATATTTGTTTTCTTCTTATCTAGATGCAAACTAAAGAGTGGGCATTGCTATGTAAAACAAAAGACATTCCTTGTTCTGATGATTTTTCCTTAACAAATACCCTGGGAGAACCAGTGAAAATCAGAGCTTGGAATATTGCTGGACTACCTTCTGACATGTTTTCCATTGATAATGGCATAATTATCTCGTAAGTAAAAAAAAAAAAAATTACAATGAATAGTTTTCATTAAATAGCTTCTTACAACATGCTTTTCAGTTATTATTTTTATAGACAGTTTTCTACTGTATGTCCAGTTTGACAACCAGAGGTATAAGATTACTGTAATGTTTAAATTTATAAGAAATACTAATAATACTTTTAAACTCTATAATGTAAAGTTTTAAAATCTGTTAATTCACTCGTTTTCTTTTCAACTCCTATGGATTACTGTAATGATACCTTCTCCTCCCCCTGTCTTTTTTTTTTTTTTTTTTTTTACACACGTGGTGCACACTGGATTCAGTTTAAGACATCCTAAAATGCTTCAGGAATAGAATTTTGAATACTGCTCTTGTAGCATAATCAGTAGATATGGAAGTAATTCTCCTTCAAAAAGCTCTATAATTTTAAAGAAATACGCTGGCATCGATTGCTACCAAGAGGTGTTTCTGCAAAGCTACTGAAGATTATTTTGCTGATCTTTCTATGAGGGTCACACACTTTTTCCCTCAGATGGCACTGGGAATTCTATAGAGAATGTCTTGATAACTTGTCTATAAATAGTTTTCCAGTTTATGTTGCCAACTGGTGGGAGATTTTAACATCCAGGCTTGTAACACATTTTGTGTTTAAAGCCCTGACATTTTGGAAGTGTTGATTGGTACACTGATGAGCTGAATCTTTATTTTGCTAGGGTACAGTAGCAAAACAACAAAGACCCATGTACATCTTCTACTAAAGGCAGTAAGGGAGCTACAAAAAGTTAGAATGGAGAGAATTTCTAGTCTCCTTTCTTACAGAGGGTGATCACAAACATACACTCGCCAGTTTCTTCCTGTTTCTTGCCATCTGTTCTATGTACTTCTAAACTCCTTTAACAAGAAAAGGTGAGATAGGCCTTTCCTGCAATAACCTCTGGTTTCAGAAAGGTGTGCTTTCACATCACTTCAGGCAGTTGGGAGTTAGATACGGGTCTTCCTCATCCATGAGATAGTTTTAGATATTAGATGAAAGGTGAAAATGTGTATCTGTACTGACAATTTGGAGTTTGTTTTCTTTAGGGCCTCATTCCCCTAACTATCAATACTTCATACAGACTAGTCATTCCTAGGATCCCTTCTAGAGCAGAACCACCTGCCATATCCTTAGACAAAAGCTCAGAGAGCCTTGGTTTTTGGGTTAGTGTAGGGACCTCTTTAGTATGCATTATGAATGAGGTACCACAAAGTCATCTTTGCACCTAGTCCAGTCCTCAAAGAACTTAAAAAAAAATATTAAAACGTGAATTCATAGCGGAGACTTGATTATATCTTTGAAGTGCTGGAATTTACTAAATACTATTTATAGTTGGCAATTGCAATTGTAGCTTCCTGTTGTAATGTTGTTAGTATGACAATAGTCTTATCACAATATCAATCTTTAATTTTTGCTACTCTTTACATGAAAATTGTTCTCACTGTCTGAGGAGTCTGATGGTGTATAGCACTGGTGGATGAATACTACTTTTACTGTAGAGTGAATGTTAAGTTTTCACACATAACTGAAATTGTATATTATAGGGCTAACTCCTGGAAGCATAGCTGTGTGGGTGACACTTCAGCTTTGGCAACTGGATAGGTGACAAAGTGCAAAATGAAAGAGAGAAGACAAAAATAATGCACTAGCTAAAGAACCTCAAGATATTTTCACTTGAGTTTAAAAATTGGCATTGATTGTACTTCTGGAAACAAAAACTACTTATTGAAGTTAGAAGATATATGCTGGGATTATCAATGTATATGTAACTTTTAAAAGTAATTACTATATTAATAATTCAATCATTCAGGCTAAACAGTTGACAAACTTTAATGAATTCAACACTTCTAGAGTACATCCTAACATTTCAATTTTTAAAGCTTTGATCAAAATTCTCTTTGAACTAATGGAAGGATGATTAGCATTTTAAAACTGAATAATGATAGCTCTTAATTTTGAAATGTGAGATAGAATCTACCTCGAATTGATCATACATATTATGCCTATAGTTATGAGTTTATGGCTAGATTAATTTTGTATTAGGACCCCAGGAATTATATAAAATGCAACTCAAGCTTTTTATAACAACAGATTTTTTAAAAAGCAGAATTAGTGAGCTATTCAAGGTTAATTTGCAAACATACACAGTGACAGTTTATATATTCCCATCAATAAGGAAGGATTTTATCACTGATGAAAGCTGTTTGGCTGTTATTAGAGAACCATTCTTTAGTTATATATAGTTTAGTTAGTCTTTAGTATTTCATGTCTGTTACACAGTAAGTCTGAAATGGGATATACTGAAAATAATATGTGAATGAAAACTTGAAGTAATCACAGAAAGAAAGATATCCTCTAGATTTTGGCTGAGGTTTTCTCAAATCTTAAATTCCTGTTTCAAAGTAAGAACATGCAAAATTATTATAAGCAGATTATATAAACATTGTCTATTTTAGAGTGTGCTTAGCATGCAGGTTTATTCTGTTCATTCTACAGTCTGCAACTGCTGTATTACCTGGCTGTATATCCCTTGGGTCTTCCTTTGGGTTCTCATAAGCAAGTGAACCACCTAGCAATTTGGGAGCTCAGCAATTCTTTCAGTACACTTTGGATCCATTGGTGAACACTTACTTTGTAGCTTTTTCAAATTCAAGGCTCATAATTTTCTGTTGACAATTTATGGAAACTTTTCATAAAACATCACTCTTTCTAGGAAAAGATATATTTGAATGCCAGACAAAAATTAGGTTGTCTTTTACTTAACTGCATATGTTTTATCTTAGTATTTTTAAGCAAAATAATACAGATGCAGACATGTTTACATTGCAAGTTTTATTTCTGAATCAGAATTTTTCAACAGAGATAACTTCAATTTAAAAAAATTATTAAAGGTAAACAATTTGCCAGTGTCATTGTGCATAGGATAACTTGTAATAATGACAGAGGCTGTAGAAGTAGGCCAAAAGATTTCTTTTTGTGTTGAACCTAGGAAAAAAGGTGTTGCTGTTTTTTTCTTCCAGTAGTAGACTATATCATATCTCCTAACCAACCAGGATCTCACAGGGCCCCTTGATCCATATTTTTAGGACTATATTTATTTTGTAATCCTCACTTCTGCCTGCTTAGATGGTTTCTAATTTAGGTTATTATTGCTATAATTGTAATTGACCATTAAAATGTATCACTAGTCTTAGATATCTTGGTAATGTAACTACACATAGTAGAGAATACTGTAAAAAAAATCTGTGCAGTAGTTACATGAAAAATAAAAATAAATAAATATAATAAAAAATAAAATGCAGAAGTTCATGTCTATTGCTGCTTTAGGATTAGGGATTAAAATGTGGATGTGTTTGAATCTGCTTATATATTTGCCTTCATACTAATTCTAAAATGTCTCTTTAGTGGAAAATTCCATTCGTTTTCATGTGAAAATGCTCACTTATGCCTGTATTAAAGCCATTCAAAATGTCAAAACTTAGAGTGGTCTTTTTATTTTGAAAGTGATATAAAATTAAATGCGGTTAAACTTTCTAGGAAGTAAGAAGTCTTATTTTAAGTACTTTCTTTGAAAGAGGAAAATAATTTATTTTGCAAACAAGGAACTTTAAGATGCATCTATCTCCTGTTAAATTCATCAAAGATTATACCTGAGTATGTGCCTACTATGATTTCATACTGATGCGCTTTTGTTTTAATGACAAAAGGGAATAAATTGCCTTAAGATGTACTTTGATGTAAACATGTGAAGAGCTTACGTTTCAGTTTTGAAAGTTTATATTTTTCCCTTCAGTAATGCAAGAAGATGGCCTCTGATGATAGATCCTCAGGGTCAAGCAAACAAATGGATAAAGAACATGGAAAAAGCCAATAATTTGCATATAATCAAACTGAGTGATCCTCAGTTTGTTACAACAATGGAAAATTGCATTCAGTTTGGCAGTCCTGGTAGGTTAATGAAAGTGTAAATTACAGAATAACCTGGAGGGGGCACAGTCAGATAAAAAAATGAAACTCCAGTGTGTATCAAATGTTCTTGTAGGTAAGGAAAAAAGATTTTTTTTTTCCTTGTTTTGAATCAGATTTGTACTATAGTAATTGAAGTCCTCACCCCAGGTTATAAGATACTTCTTAGCACAACATAATTATAATACGCAGTATGATTTGTATCTTTTAATTGCTTTATGAGATTTGCTGTTTTTTTGTTTTCACATTACAATAATTTTATTTCCAAAAAATTGTTTTTATTTGGCTTTTCAAGAGTAGAAATACCAGATTGCTAGGCTGTGATCATTAATGATTTTTGTATCCGCTGTAATACCTTTATTGCAAGTAGTCTTATTACCCTCCAAAAAAAAAAAAAAACCAAAAAACTCAAAACCCAAAATCATAGTTACAACTCCAGTTATTTTTCAATGGCTAACTGCACTACAAGTAAAGAAGTGGATTATTTATTCTCCATTATTTATTTTTTGTTTTTGACAATCTCGTATGTTTACAGTGAAAACTGAAGCAGACTTAGTTACCCTCAGTTATCTCTGTGGCATGTGACATTTGTTCTTTCCCTTTTTAAAAATGGTAGCCATAAACTGCTGTTCTAAGCCATTGGCAGCAGTAATAATGATAGCATTTTAGCTGCTTTTTTACAAATTTATGTAACACTAAAAAGAAATTAAAGGTACATTTCTTTGACTCATTTCTCGATCAGCTGGATACTCTAAGAAATATTAACCTTATCTCTAGATAAGGCTTGATTAATATATTTATTTTTTGCACACTGTAAATATACATATGTGTTGTAAAGAACAGTCAATCAGTAATAGAAATGCCAGGAAAGTCCTACTAACTCTTATGTTATTTTGAAGTGCTACTGGAAAATATTGGAGAAGAACTTGATCCTATCCTAGAGCCACTTTTGCTCAAACAGACATTTAAGCAATCAGGGAGTATATGCATTTGCCTTGGAGACTCCACTATTGAGTATGCTCCTGAATTCCGCTTTTATATTACAACTAAGCTGAGAAATCCACATTACCTTCCTGAAACATCTGTTAAGGTGAGAATTTTGTAAATTAATGTGCAACTCTATTGTAATTTTAAAATTATTCCTTGACTAAAACCAGGGAAGAATTTCTGGCATTTGTTTATTCCTCCTACCCTGCCAACACTGGCTTTTTTCTACACAGCTGGCAGACTGGTATCGTGTTAAAAGTGTTGAAATTTCTCTGAAGTCTATTATTTCAACTTGCAATACTATCATTCATTCATACTGTCTGGAATTTAATTATTTAATTAATTTTAACACCTTTCCCAGTCTGTATCTCCAGATGCTATTTAGTTATCTTTTTTAATAAAAACATTTACAAGGATTTAATATAATAGTCACCTCACATGCAAACACTACATTAGGCTTTCATATTCACATTTTTTATCTGTAGTATAGTGGGGGACAGGAGTCTGAGCAATTCCTGGCATTGTGCCTTGTTTATGATAGATAGAAAATATATTTACAGATTTATATTTATACTTAGTTTCTAAAGATGGATCTTCTCTAGTTGGGTTCCGTGCAGTCAGACAGAAGTTGTTAATTGCTCTAACGAGGAGCAGTTGCTTCATGACATGGTTGGTATGCTCCCAGCTACACCACACACTGCTGAGCTACCTGACTAAGGTGGCTCATGTACAGGGAGCAGGAAGCAGAAAAGTAATATCTAAATATCTTGATCTGAAACTAATTGCAACATCCATTGGTGAATTTGTCCCAAGGATTATTCAGGAGCTAGCTGATGAAATGAGTCCAGGGAAAATATTTACTGGTATGGTTATCATATTTCACAGGGAAAGATTGTACTGAATTCTGATGCGTCTTACGTAGTGAAGCTGTCAGAGAGACATAGGTCAGGGATTTACATGTATTTACACTACATAGATATGTATTCACACTTGTTAGCCATTTGGAGTAGCTTTTTCCTCTTTCTAATGTTATTAATTAAATGAAGTAAAAACCACTAAAAAAATCATAATTTTCAGCACTCCTGAGGGAAAGGTGACTTATTCATGTCCCTAAAAAATATCATTCTGTCTTCTGTCCCTTAGGAACTAAGGACAATGTTGCATGTAAACAGAAGTTTGCACTTAGGCCTCAGAGGTTCTCATGTCTGAACCAGCCAGCCTTTCAGAGCATGGCATCTCTGAAAGCTAACTCATAATGCTGTTTGTAGCTAGACTTTTACTTAGAGGAAGGGAAATGGAGCCTATGGAAGATTTTTGAAGTTTTGAAGCGTTATGTCCCTCTTATATTTCCCATTACTAAAATTGTTAAATAAGGTGAGGAAGAAATAGGCCATGATGCTTGTGAAGATCTTATTAATTCTTAGTGTCCTATAGAACTAAACCTTCTCTCAAAATTCCAGTGTGCAAGAGCAGTGTGATACGCTATCTATGCTCCTCAATTTTTTTTCAGTTGAGGCTTACAATAACGAAAAATATCAGTGATGTATTTTAAGTAAGTTAAAATACTAGCTCTCCTAACTTTTCAAGCAAAACTCATGAAAAAAAGCCTCAGATATTTGGACAACTTTTAGATATTATTAGTGGCAGAAACAGATCAAGAGAAATAACTTCACTGTTATTCCATATTCTAACTGATCACTTTGTTCAAGGCGAATGTTATTTTGAAACACAAATCAATGGTATCTGTACCCACCAAAAAAGCCCAAAGAGAATCTGTAGTCACTATTACCTAGTCAGTTAATTAAAACAAATACTTTCAGCAGTCTTGATGATTGAGAAGTAGATTATTTTTTGGGTTTTGAACTACGTGCATCAAACTATTTTCTAGCCTTCTGCTGGCAATATATTCCTTCTCTTTTTAATGTAAAATATTGTACATTTTTGACACTTCTTCAGCAAGAGCACGTGGGTTTTTCCAGATCTATTATAAATATGTCATGGGATGGGAATTCTTTAAAACAATGTTTTTTTTCCCAGACATTTATTTTCTCTTGAAAAATACAATGTGATGCTATCCTAATTCTAGAATACATATATCCCTGTAATAACAGCACCACAAATTGGATGTGAACAAGGCCATTAAAGAGAGAAGACATATGTGGCAGATGCAATAATGTTCATTCATGTTATATGGGTCAATCACTTGAATAACTGATATTCAAAGTTTCAGTGTAATTTTGAGGAACAGAATGAAATTCTATACATTATTTTCACATCCCTTTCATGGTTAACTTTCTGGGTTAATCCTAGCTTTCCAACACATACTCTTAAACCCACAGCTGCAATTAATTTACTCTGGTTGAACATATTACATGATACTATACAAACCTCATCTTGCTAATGAAGAAGCATTTTAATAGCATCTGGCTATAACTGTGCTTTATATATATACATATATATACTATAACTTTCAAAAAATATTACTCCTAACAGGTAACATTATTGAACTTCATGATAACTTCAGAAGGAATGCAGGATCAGCTTCTTGGAATTGTAGTGGCAAGAGAAAGGCCAGATCTCGAAGAAGAAAAACAAGCCCTCATCCTTCAAGGGGCTGAGAATAAAAGGTATCAAGATAACTTCCCCTGGTACAGATAGAAGCAGATTGCAGTTTGAGGAAATACAATTATGGGAAATACATTTCAGAGACCTTTTTTGTTTGTTTGTTTGATTTAACAGTGTGATGGGTCAGGACTGCTATTTTTGAGAGCCTAGACTTGGGCTTCTGTATGCTCTTACTCGCATTCCTACTGGTTGTGCCTTTCTATTGATATGGTTTCCTATTTCTGGGATCATTAGAAAATGCTAAATACCTGAATTGTGGGTTGTATAATTGCAAAATGTAACTCTTGATGCTGTGCTCCATTTTTATGCATCCCTTTCATGATGTTGAGATGTGATTGGCTGTCCTCACAGATTTTGATTAGGTATTAATGGTTGTGTTTTAGAAGTGTTTTCATTGTGTGCTAGATTGGTACCAATTGTACGTGGCAAAAGGGCATCTTTCCCCATGGGTCAAAGCATGAAATATGCAGTATTTAAAGTGGTTTGTCACTTCCTCCCTTTGCTGTCAATTTTTAGCCTGAAAGTGGCTAAATTTTTCAGAAATTCAAGGGAATGTTTAATAAGAAAAAAAGGTTTTGTTGTGTAAGTTGCATACCATAAATAGAATCTACACATTGTCTTATTTTATAGAAACTAGTGGAAAAAAGCTGTCATTTTCATATATGAAAAATCTTGTTTATTATTTTAGGCAGCTAAAAGAAATAGAAGACAAGATTTTAGAAGTTCTTTCAGCCTCAGAAGGAAATATTTTGGAGGATGAAACTGCTGTTCAGATATTGTCTTCTTCCAAAATTCTGGCTAATGAGATTTCTGAAAAGCAAGCTGTAGCTGAAGAGACAGAAAAGAAGATTGATGCCACTCGTATGGGCTATCGTCCTATTGCTGTCCATTCGTCAGTCTTGTTTTTTTCTATTGCTGATCTCGCCAACATTGAGCCAATGTACCAGTATTCACTCACATGGTTTATTAACCTTTTCATCATGTCTATAGATAATTCAGAGCAATCGGAAGATTTACAAACAAGGTAAGAGTGATCATTTGCCATTTGTAATTGGTGATGTATTCATAGTTACTCCAGAAATGCTTCTGTTGTTTTTCCAAAGTGTGTTGTCTCAGGCATTGCATTTTGAAATGTTTTTTGTACATATATCTGTCAGATATTTTTCTGGAAATAATTTATTCACAGAAACAAAATGGTACAATATATTACAAGTGCAACATATTCTACTATTTCTATTTAGTAATTGCTACCTCAAGTCATGTCTGAAATTAAAAATATCAGTAAGATAAAAATGGTCCCCTTCCTTTGATTTTGTATTTCATTTCATGTAGTGACTTTTTCTTGCCTGTTTCTTGAAGACATACACTTTTCCACACAACTGGTGAGAGAGAATGAAGTCTCGTGACTGGACCTCCTGACTGTAAAGTGTGCACAGAAGTTATTATTGGTTTGATTGTTATTTTATACTAAGTGTCTCCCCCTCTTCTAACTTGTTCATGAGAAGAGGAGAAATTGTGCAATTTTCAATGATCTGAATTTTTTTTCCATGTGATGGACCTCACTATTATGATCACATTAGAATGATTCAAAATATACCCTTGAAGGTAATTGTTTAAACCTTGAAGAGATTGTTTAAAGAAAATTTTTCAGTGTTCTGTCACAGCAGTTACTAAATTCTACTTTAGTGTCTTTGTTTAATCTTCAAATCACAGAGCATTGCTTCTGTTACTTAGGTACTTGCCTGTTAATCAAATGAACAAATGATGAGAAAGGGAAACTACTCTCCCAATTTCTGAATAGAATTTTTTCTAGTTAATATTGCAAATGGCAATTTATGAATTATCCATTACTGTCCATATTTTATTTAAATACAAGTAAATTGTTGTACCTGGTAAGGTAGTACTTAGTGTGTAGTTTAATGTGTAGTGTTCAGTTTAGTGGCATACTGGTTATGAAGGTTATTTTTTCACTAGAATTTAGTCAAGGTCTGGGCAATCTAAGTCTAGCCTAAGTGTTTTATCAAAGATATCGCTACTAATAATTTAAGTCAAAGCTTAATATTTTGGTATCATATTTGAAATTACATTCAAAGTAGCCTTTTACCAATACGGCAATCTGTGTTCTTGTCGTGGCTTAAACCCAGCCAGTATGAAAACACCACACAGCTGCTTGCTCACCCTCCCCTGTCCCCCAGGACAGGGGAGAGAATTGGAAGGGTAAAGGTAAGGAGACTGATGGGTTGAACAATTTCATAATTGAAATAAAATTAATCATAATAATAGAATATACAAGTGAGTGATACACAGTTCAACAGCTCACCACCTGCTGACCAAGGCCCCACCACTTCCCAGCTAGTGATCCTGGAGGAGAGAAAATCCCGAAACTGCAGAAGTCCCAGAGGAGAGAGCATGAGCACTTTCTGGCCAATCATTTATATACCGAGCATGTTGTTGCATGATACAGAATATCTCATTGGCCAGTTTGGGTCCGTTGTTCTGGCTTGATTTTTTAGCAACATCTGAAAACATCGGTATGTTATCAACATTCTTATACCAAATCCCATACTGAATCCAAAATACAGCGCTATTGTAGCTACTAAGAAGAAAATCAACTCTATCCCAGCTGAAACCAGGACAGTTCTATAAACCTAGCTCTTTTACTTTAAATCTTAATCTTTTCTAACTCAAAAAATCCTACAAGGCCCATGTGCCTAAATTAAATTAAGCAATAAATAAAATAACATTGTTTTGATTCAGAACCTTTCTGTTAGCAGAAATATAAAGATACAGGACCTGAAGCCCAGCTGACATCCCAGGGAATGATTGGTGTAAGCCCCTTTTGATAATTTTGCCCAGTGAAGGCAGGGGAAGACAGACTCACTGAAAATTCTCTGTGAGATAATAATTCATATAAGACTGTTTGTCTTCATCTATCTTCACTAATCAGACATTTTTTTACTACAGACTCTGGGCTGAGATTTTTTTTTAATCATTCTTTTCTCATGCAAACCATGTTACTTCTGTAACTTGAAAAAAGTTTACATTTTGTCCAATGGCCACCTTTGTGACAGTATTTTGTGTGTAAATGGTATGTTTATCCATTTAACTGATGAGGAATCAGTAATTTTGAAAGGACGTAAAATGCTAATAAAAAACCAGAAGAATGGTCTGCTTCCTGTTAGCTGAATAGAAGAATACAAAAATAGATGGAAACACAAAACTGAAAAGGAGACACAGATCAAACAACATAGCTTTATCTTAATCTTGATCTTCTGTCAAAAGCTTTCCACTTTTCAATTATAATAGATCACACTTAGGTTTCCAAAGGATCACCATGTCTGAACTGCAGGAATACCCTCCAAGCAGCTCCCTCCCAAGGGACTGGTGACGTAGGCAGTTGGAAAAAAACCTATAAAACCTCTCCACATCTTTGTTACTACCTTGTAAGATGTATTTGAAGTATTTGTGCAAATTCAGACACTGCATTTCTAAACACCTGAATGGACTTTTCCTTATTTTGGCTAGGTATTCAAGGTATTCAAGCTTAAACCTTTATAAAACAATAGATGGCCTTCTTGCTTTGTATTTAAAGGAAATTATTGATAATAAATCACAGAATTTTAACTATATTTGTATTATAGCGTATTAAGGAAAATACTCTGTGGGATGGGAAACATATTTCAGATAACCTTTAAAGATGGACTGGTTTGATTTTGGCCCTGGTATTTATATTCATAATGAATTTTAAAATTGCTGTTTTTTTCTGCCGCCCCCAAAAGGGACCTCTCACTTCCTCTGAAAATCATGGGTTACTAAAATGTAATTGCACTTAAATGTGTTTTGTTATTTTGCTCACAAAATGGTACATGCATTTAATGATTACTTTGGGTAATTGACCAGAGGAGATCTAAATGGTTTGTAATAGATTTCCAGAGTGCACACTCTTTAGAGTGATATTAATGGAAGATTGTTATTTTTTCCAACACCTGTAGGTTGAAGATTCTCAAGGATCATTTTACTTACTTGCTTTATGTCAATGTCTGTCGCTCCCTCTTTGAAAAGGACAAGCTGCTGTTCTCTTTTTGTCTAACTGTGAATCTCCTGAAACATGAAGGATTGGTCAGTAATTAAAAATAATTTGCAGTTTGATATGATATATATTAAACTGTCTATAGAAACTATCAGTAATAGGAACATACAGAATAAGAATAGAAAAATAAGTTTATATATAATTATATTACAGCCTCAATTTTGTGGTGTTTTATTTTCATTTTAATAAGCATTGAAAAAGATTCTCTAGAATAAAATAAATATATAACAAACAGGTATGGCAAAACTGGGCTAGATGATGACAGTTTTTCTACATATTACTTAAAATAAAGCCCAGCCTATCTTATTCTTACTGTGAACACTTCACTAAATTATACTGTAATAAGCTCTTAGAACTCAGACTACATAAAAATGAATTGTAACCGTTGATTTAAGAAACTACTCATCTTTTTCACTGAAGGTGCTAAATGTATTTATTTTTGAATAGAATTCCTCAAAATCAACACTTGTACCAACTGAGTTCTATTGATTTCTAATAATTGTTTACAAGATATCTCTTTACAGTACTTACAGTTGTTTGGGATTGTTTCTTTCAATGTAATATGTAAACATTTAAAATTTTGGAAACTCTTGGAATTTTTATATTAGGGAATAGATATAAGTGAATTATTTCAAGAGCTGACAATAATAATCATGGGATGCTGTTCTCCCATTCGCAGGGACTTCAATTTACAAATTCAAGACATCAAATAAATTTTGAGATAAAAGAATATTGAGAAAGGAATAAGACATGTAATAGGTTGATATTTATTTTTCGTATTTAGACTTGCATTACAGGAAAAGGTTGCAAAATGCATGGTTCCCTGAAGTATTTCCAGTATTTTTTTCCTTCAACATTTTGGGATTTGAAGAATGGGTCTAAAAATCTAATTAATTAACATTGTTTATTCCCCAAGTTAGGAATGCAAATGAATCTTTAAAGTGGCTCATATCTTATTCCTTCAATTCATGTTTAACTGAAAACCAGGCACTGAATACTTTGGATATAAGCTTTTAGTAGTTTTACAGAAGCTTTTTCAACTAATGCAAGAATTCAGATAAATTTATTGTTTTCCTACATAATGTACTAAAACCATTAGATTTTATTTAGTCCTGAGAGCAGTATTTTTCATTGTAGATTAATGAGAATGAGTGGATATTTCTGTTGACTGGAGGCATAGGTTTGGACAATCCCTTTTCTAATCCATGTACCTGGCTTCCTGCAAAATCATGGGATGAAATTTGTCGACTAAATGATTTGCCTTGCTTCACAACCATTCGTGAGGATTTTACACGACTAAAGGATGGATGGAAATTGGTATATGACAGCTTGGTATGTTAACATTCGCGATTGCTTGCATTCATAAGCTAATTAACACATTGAAGATATTTATTAAGGGAAAAGAAAGTGCTGTCATTTTATATGGGATATTCTTACATATGTGAATGTAAATATTAAAGCAAATGGTGTGTAGCAGTAGATTGTTGCCAGTTTGTCAGGTGCCTTCTGAATAGCAAGTCATGATCTGAGTTGAATTTGGATGGAAAAAGGCAACAAAACTTGAAGTGGTAAAGCAATAGTGACATTTGCTAAACTTAAGGCAACCAATGTCCCTTGTCTTTACATTTGTTTACCATGCTTTGAAGATGCTTTTTCATGCCATTATGTAGCATGCTGGTTTACTGGATAAGTGTGAAAAAGCAGTTATTGCCATCTAGAGAAACCAGAATGGTATTTGGGAGACCTGTCATTCCCAGTTCTCACCATGACTTGATCTATGAATGAATGACTATCACTGTCTTTATCCAACTTCATTGCTGTTTCTTTGAAATCTAAGCTCTGTGAGCATCTGTGTGGGTCTCTGTGAGTGTGTATCTGTGTATCCGTGAGTGTCTGCATGTGTCTCTGTCTCTGGGTGTGTATCTGTCAGTGTGTCTGTGTGCGTCTGAGAGTGTATATGTGAGTGGCTGTGAGTGTCTCTGTCCATGTATGTTTGAGTATCTGTGTCTGTGAGAGTCCGTCAGTGTCCATGGGTGTCTGTGAGTCTCCATGTCTGTAACTGTCCGCAAGGGTCCTTAAGTATCTGTGAGTATCTGAGTGTCTGTAAGTGTCCATGAGTGCCTCTGTTTATGAGTGACTGTGACTGTTCATAACTGTCCCTGAGTGTCCACAAGAGTCCAGGAGTGTCTGTGAATGTCCGTAAGTGTCTGAGTGTCCATGACTGTCCCTGAGCATCTGTAAATGTCCATGACTGTCCATAAGTGTCCATAAGTGCCCGAGTGTCTCTGAGCATCTGTGAGTGTCTGCATACATCTGCGAGTGTCTGAGTGTCCGTAAGTATCTCTGAGGGCTCATCAGTGTCCATGAGTGCCTATGTGTGTCTGCAAGTCTCCGTAACTGCCTCTGACTCTGTCAGTATCTGTGTTTGTGTGTGTCTCAGGTAGTGTGTGTCTGTGAGTGTGTCTGTACCTGCGTGAGTATCTCTGTCTGTGAGTGTGTATCTGTGAGTGTTTGTGGAAGGTAACCCTGATCATGGCAGAGGGGTTGGAACTCAATGATCTTTAAGGTCCCTTCCAACCCTAACCATCATAGAATGCTATTTTTGCTTATGTAACTTTTCTTGATGGATGTCACTATCTATGGTAAATTTGGTCTGATCTAGGAAGATGATTTAATGATAAGCAGCAGTGTAGATAATGTAGGTGCTTAAAGGTAGCAATTATTGCAGACACATCTGTTTTGTTTTATCAAAAGTGTTTTGAAACAGAACCATTCCGAGTCTAACTGCAAGGCTTGAATGTGGTACAGATCACAACAGGTGTTCACAGTTGTGAATCTTTATTGCAAAATAGTCAACATAGTAAAAACCAGAATACAAGTATTTGCTTAGACATTTTTCATATATTCACAGGTTAGTGGGACTACTATTATTCCACACCTAGCAATAATGACAAAGCACATTGTGAAAGATAGGGGTTAACGTAAATAGTTATGACATCTGTTCCAGAGAGCCTGCGAAAGGAATTATAGAATCATAGAATGGTTAGGGTTGGAAGGGACCTTAAAGATCATCGAGTTCCAACCCCTCTGCCATGGTCGGGGACACCTTCCCCTAGATCAGGTTGCTCAAAGCCTATAATGCTACCTGTCCCTGCCCTCCCTTTAATCCTGACGCACAAGGTCTCTGTTGGCTCCTCATCCATCCCCAGGAGGAGCTCCATGCACTCCAGCTGGCAAATGCACTGGAATTTTCAAAAATACTAGTTAATAGGTCTTGGGGAAGATTCCTTTTTGATAGCTGAACTTTTTTTTTTTTTTTTTTGTCACCAGTATAGGTTATCTTATACTATAGTGATATGCAACCAGCTCTTTTTCCTGTCTTGTTAGTGATACACAAATTTTAATAAAAGGCAGTTTCATGCACGTGCATTAGAGAGTGCACAAAATCAGTGCAAAGTCTAAATCTAACTCAGTGCTTGAGCCACCTTGTAATCAGCAACTATACACTGAATATGAATGTTTTTCAAATGAGTTTGAGATGCATTTTTCTCCTACTGCTGTTGTAGATCACTGTGCTTCCAAAAGTAGGGGAGACCTGCCTTCAACTCTCCCATTCAAGGATTCCAATATTTTATCTAAAGTTGTATTGCATGTCTTGGCGTAGGGACTGAAACTCAGTTCTCCTCTAGCTGGCTTACTTAATTTCAAAGCTACTGATGCATCTCTTCACATGGAGAAGTGAAGAGTTTTCAGCACAGTGGCACAACTCAGTGGAGTCTTCAGTGCAACCTTCACTCCTGTCTCCTAATTCACTCAGTTTTCCACAAATCTTGCAAATTTTTAGCTAAATTCTTCAACAGCTGTTATAGATATCATTGAGGTACCTATTTTCCACATATGTTAATATAAAAATAATGCAGCATTCTGGATTCCAATCTGAAACTAAGTGCGTAGAAGTTGGGGAAGGAGGGAGCCAGGCTCCAGATCCTTAGCACAATATGAGCTCCATCGTGATTTGATTTGCTAAAACAAAATTGCTCAGAATGCAGTTTGTGCAGGTCTGTCTGCATACCTCTGTGCCCAGCCCTCTACAGGCAAGCCTGAGAGGCTCCCCAGCAGAGCTGTAATACCAGTTTCCAGAAAGGCAGAGCTGGTTGGCACTGCACTTCAGTCTAATAAGAAGCTAACATGCCACACAACCACTGCTGTTCCCAATCTGATAACTGCAGTAACATAACAGCTGGATTATTCATAGGCCATTTACAAACTAAGCTCTTTGGAGCATTCTTCTGATTCATGTTTTTCTGCACTTATTTTCTGCATTCAAGATGCAATCTAACTCATAGTTATCATGTAATACTGTAATGTCATTGTCATTGATTATATAGGTAGTGTTGTAATATTGAAGACTGACACCATAATTCAGTTCTAACAGAAAGAGGGAGGTAAAGTGCATTTTCAGGTTTTCTCCAGCCCTTCTCCTCTTTCTAGAGAAGAACTTTAAGTGTTCAAAATAACCCCAAAATTACTATAACTTCTCTGCTATAAGAGAAGGTGGTTAGATAAACATGTACTTAAAGTTGTTTGTTCTTTTTAAAAAAAGCTTTAAGCACATCAACCCCATTTCTGTAGATAAAGAAAAAAAATACATCATGGATTGATGTGTCAAGTTAGAAGATAATTTACTCTCATTATAGGTAATTCACAAATACTTTACAGAATGTTGAAATGCGTATGTTTTTAGGATCCCCAGCATGAGAATTTTCCTGCGGAGTGGCAAGAAAAGTTGGGGGAGTTCCAAAGGATGCTTGTCATTCGCTGCCTGAGACCTGACAAAGTACGTATGAAACTTTCACCTTATTCAGAAAGGTCTGTCCATCTTAGAAACCAAAGCTATTTGCAAGTATGCATTTCAACTGTGTTGTTGACAACCATTCTACAACAGTCTATCATAAAGAAAATCAGGAATTAATGTGATTTTTAAAAAAGACAAGTTTGAAATTGTAATGAAAAAAACTTTGTAAAACAGAAGTGTAGGCCTTTAGCTTTTGTTAAGTTTCAGTGTACACCCAGAGTTCTTCCTTCTTGAGACTCTTATAAACCTTCTGACTTTGCTTTTTCAGTACACCTGCTATTTTTGCTTATGTAACTTTTCTTGATGGATGTCACTATCTATGGTAAATTTGGTCTGATCTAGGAAGATGATTTAATGATAAGCAGCAGTGTAGATAATGTAGGTGCTTAAAGGTAGCAATTATTGCAGACACATCTGTTTTGTTTTATCAAAAGTGTTTTGAAACAGAACCATTCCGAGTCTAACTGCAAGGCTTGAATGTGGTACAGATCACAACAGGTGTTCACAGTTGTGAATCTTTATTGCAAAATAGTCAACATAGTAAAAACCAGAATATAAGTATTTGCTTAGACATTTTTCATATATTCACAGGTTAGTGGGACTACTATTATTCCACACCTAGCAATAATGACAAAGCACATTGTGAAAGATAGGGGTTAACGTAAATAGTTATGACATCTGTTCCAGAGAGCCTGCGAAAGGAATTATCCACACACACTTCCTCACAGAACTGTTAAGCTTTATATTAGTACTCAGATAAGAATATGAAGGTTTGTAACATATAAAGAAGAGAAGCTTTTAGACTTGGACTTCACACTTCAGTTCCCCTGGATTTTTTTTTGACTGGCAGTATGAGCATGTTGGGCAGATGGATCAACATGAAGAGGCACTGGTGGTGGGGGTGTATACTGATGCTTGGAGACAAAGTTATCCACAAGACGCTGCCTAGTTGCGGTGACTTCTTCTTCAAAAGAGTTTATGATGCTTCTGCCAGTTTTGCACTCAAAGCAAAGCAAAAGATTGAGAGTTTCAGTTGAGCAATTTAACTATCTAGTTCAACTATGTTCAAAACTTAGTTCCTCAAAACCCCACTGATCTGCCACTAATTCTAGCTTAGAAGTCCGCTTTTGGCTGTGGTCAGCAATACTGCTCTCTAAATGGTGCAGAGCAGTTTGGCAGATATTTCCTATGCATGCCCCCATTTGATTTAAACTTCACCAGCTTTGCCTGTAGGGCTCAGTTCAGTGGCCACTTTTATTTATGCCTAGTATACTTTTTCTTTTAAAGTAAACTGTGAACCTAATGCTTAGCTGTATTTTAAATCACATCAGGGAGGGAGACTTCAGTTTGATTTTCTTCTGTGTGAAGAGGCATGATCTTGCTTCTTAGGATGCATTAGGATATTGGTGCTTCAAGATTGTAGCATGCTCTGGATCAGCCCTAGTGAGTAGCCCTCCAAACTACTGGTGACAGTATTCTTGGGGGGTAAAGTGTCCCCAGTTGAGGCTGCTGCTTCAAGCTTTCTATATGCTGTACTTAGAAATAAAGTAATATTATGGCCAAGACCCCTTTTGTACCTTGGAACACTGCTCTAAATCATTTGCTGTTCAGGTTAAATATCAGCTTCTCACTCTTAGCCCACCTGTTAAGGTATCAGACTGCTCCCACTGGATGAGATCCTATTTTTATGTATTTGAGTCTGTTTTATAGGGAACTTACATACTTAACCTTGACAATCACCAGGTGTATTTTCAATACAGAACATTATCAGCAAAGCAAAGATCTTATTTGTGCAAACCCACCAGTAAGAAAGATGTAGAACCATTCCTCTGTCTCATCAGGGAACTTGGTTCACTTCATTCTTACTATCTATAGGATTAGGGGTCATATGTCAAAGATCAGCTGATCTTGATTAACTAGTTCAAGCAGCTCAGGTTTTTATATGTCAACACTATGGCATGCATGAAATCCCAGAAGTGGGGAGGAGTAAAACTGGATAAATGTAAGACATTTGAAGTGGGCTTTAAAGTTTGAAAGCTTAATTAGACTGATTTACATGTAAAACTCAACATGCGAAGCAATAATCTGGTCAGATTTTGTCTTTTAATGTGTGTTGTTCATCCCTCCTGAGAAAGATACTGCTGCTCATTGCAGAGCTTCCTGGATTGATTGATTATTGCACCCAAGATATTTTTTCTGCTGTAATGAATTGTTGGGAAAACATTTCTAAAGGAAACAGGTTTTCTTTCAAAAACTAGACAGTAGCCTACACTGAGAAGTATTTAGGTACAGATTTCTTAGCCAATAGTGCATGTAGATCATTACTTCAGAGTAAGTCATGTTCTAGCCTTACACAATCACTCCTTGCTGATGCTTGGAAATCTTAGTGATGGAAGTTCTTGTTTACATTCTAGCTTTGGATCTTGTAAAGAGATTAATTGGTTAACACTTACAAGGAAGGTTCTCAGACGTGTCATCTCTAGCATGTAGTACTCCTCCATTGTCAGGTCATCAAAGTGCTTAGTAAGGGATAAAAAGCCACAGCTCTGACGTTTGGTGTGTTCCTCCCTGCAACATAAACCCAGAATAAGAATAGATATTAAAACCATGAAAGCTACATTTCAAAAGATGAAGAAATCTGGACAGGCCTCTTCAGTAATTCTGCTGTCTATCAGTAGAAAAAGTATCATACAGAAGACATGAAATATAATTTAGTAGATCTCAGATAAAAGCTAGTTGTGAGCCAAGAAGATACAAGGGAAGATTTAGACTGAGTTAAAATGTTGAATCAAAAGCATTCTCTTTGGAAGCAAAATGAAAAGAACTATGAAGAGTTGTGTGGGCTATAATTAACAAATTATAAACTATTTCAAGGTTACTGGGTAAGTTAAACTTTCAGTAGGCTTCAGTTTTGTGAACTGCTAAAAAGAAATTGGTAATTTTATAATGAATAAGAGGTTGTTGTCAAGGAAGTTTGGAGGCATACTTAAAGAACACTGTAACATCTGTGCTTACCATGGGTCATCATTTGGTTCCCAGCCTTCCAGTTCTATCAAGCAAAAGAAACATTTTGCCACATCTGGTTCATTTGCATTTGGACAGTGGACAAAGCCCGCCTTTGCCATCTGCAGGTGACAGTTCAGAAGTTTAGAGCTGCATCCAACACACTGCTTATGTTCACATCAGCAAGCCCCTTCTGGGAGCTTGCAAAATGCCTTTCCCCACAATGCCTATTAGCACAGATCAGTCTGAAAAATAAATTTTAAGCATGAGGCTGCATGTAGGTAAATCATAGAATGGTTTGGGTTGGAAGGGACCTTAAAGATCACCAAGTTCCAATCCCCCTGCCATTGACAGGGACATCTCCCACTAGACGAGGTTGCTCAAAGCCCCATCTCGCCTGGCCTTGAACCCCTCCAGGGATGGGGCATCCACAGCTTCTCTGGGTGACCTGTTCCAGTGCCTCACCACCCTCACAGGAAAAAGCTTCCTCCTAATATCTAATCTAAATCTACCCTCTTTCAGCTTAAAGCTGTTACCCCTCATCCTACCACTACACTCCCTGATGAAGAGTCCCTCCTCATCTTTCCCGTAGCCCCCTTTAAATACTGGAAGGCTGCTATAAGGTCTCCCCAGAGCCTTCTCTTCTGTAAGCAACTAGCGAAGGAACAAGCTACAAGTAGTGAATGGATTTCTGCATAGCTGTGGTATCTGCAGGCTATCAGAGTTGCTTTGTTCTGTCAGATAACATCTAGTAGATGCCATGCAACACAGGCATTTCAGTAGCAGTACACAAGGGCTGCCATAGACGGGACATTAAAGAATATTTTCAGAGAAAAAACAGCATAAGACCATGGACATAGAAAACCACTACATATAAGTTATGTGAGTAAAATACTACATCTTTAACTTCCATGTTTTCCTGTCACTTTAGAATTGCATCTGGTCAGAACACTAAAAATTAAAGTCTGTTTCACTTATCAAGTTTCACACCTTCTCAGATAACTCTTTCAAGATGACTCATCTGAGATCCAGCCTGGAACTTTCATGTGTGTGTGCTAAAGTAGAAGTCAGGTAGATTTTTTTTTTTTTAATGGTCAAGTCAAAGCCTACAGGGACATGAACACTAAGTTTCCTAAAATTTAAATAATTTCTATTTCTGAATTTTAGGTAGTGATCATTCTGCTACTTCATCCTTCCTGCTGGATATGTACTTGTTTCTTCTAATGTAGGTGTCTTCTTTATGAATGAAAATTTGCAATCAGAAAGACTACATAATACAAGAAATTAACTTTTAAGTGACAAGAACAAAAAAAAAAGAAACAAGAAAATTAACTATATTTAATTCTGTATCTAGACTAGTGAACTGAACATGCAGAAGCCAGTCATCCTACTACAGTATTTCTGAGCAGGAACAGGGGAAAGTTGGAGTATTCAATTTTTTATCTTCTTCAGGCTTACTGGAAGCTCACAACTCTTCTTGAACATGAACAACGACTTCACATACAAGCAGAATGTATAAAAAATAAGGCATAGTTAAAATATCCATTTTCTGACTTACATTCTCCGGAGTACACTTGCAGTTCTCTGTAAAAGGCCAGTTTGTGAAGGTTTTTAAACGGTTCTCATATTCATACATATCCTTAAAATCACTCAAGAGCTTGGAAGCCAAACCAAGCTCTTTCAAGAGCTTCTCCATCTGTAAAGCCTGCAATTAGTACAGCCCAGAGCCTCCCTCCTGCTCTCAAATTTAAGGCATTATACTAATTGGTGACACATTGCACCTGTAAAGCAGGGTAAGTTTTAAAGTAAAAACACAGATGAGTTTATGAGCAGGACAGTCAAGAGAAATGAAGCTACTGGAACTTTTTCCCCCCTATGTCACATTTTGTGTACTCGGTCACACTATGTATTTGTTAACTGAAAGCACCTATGCTAATGCAGTATGAAAATTACAAATTTTATATTTGAAATGTCAAAAATGCAAGTTAAAAACTCTAGTTACAAATACAGCAATTTTACATATACATTTTTTAAAGTTATTATACCGATTGTGACCACATGGTTGAATTAACATTGCTTTTTGAAACCTTTAGAATTTCTTGAATTTTGTGTTCAGAGATTAAATGTTAGTATCATATTTGCAAATAGTTGCATTTCTTTAAAGGGGAGGTGGTTATTGTAAAATATTCTGGACTATGTCCAGAGATAGAATGAATGGTGATATTTAGAAGAATGATATCTGTAAGGGTTTACAGGATCAACGTGTTAAACTGGCATTTTATAAATTGTCTCTTGTTTTCGTAGAGCCCAGTTAACTTCAGTAGGAAGTTTAAACACCAGCGTGTACAAGACTGCTGTACAGAGCAGTTTTCTAAGCCAAGATCTTAACACCTTTGAAAAGTTTTGCATTATGAGATTTGAAAATTTTAAATCTTCTCCATAATACAGGAGTAAGTGCAGAAAAAAATGTGCTTCCTATACCAGCACATTAGTCTGTCCAGATGTGGCGACAGAAATGAGATTAAGGGTCATTTGCATAGAACTACCAGTCTCAACCCTCTTGGAGTGCCTTTGAGCTTAGAGTCTATTTTTTGCCTAGATTTACGCATGCTAAATAATTGCTTCCTCTGGGACTGTGCTTGTATCAATTATATGCAAGAAAATTGGCCTTGAAATTTATATGAAAATGTTTAAAGTAATATTTGTTAATGCTGACACAAAAATAGGAGACTTTAATTTTATTTTTCCTTTTTTTTTTTTTTTTTTAGATCATACCAATGGTACAGGATTTTATCATTCATAACCTGGGACATCAATTTATTGAGCCACCTCCATTTGATTTGTCAAAAGCATTTTCTGATAGTCACTGTTGTGCACCACTGATATTTATACTTTCTCCTGGTTCTGACCCCATGGCATCCCTTGTCAAGTTTGCTGATGATCAGGTATTTTAATATATCCAGACATTTTAATATAGTTGATGCTTCCATGCGTGTGTGCACATGCATGTATGTTTGTATGAAGCAAAGAACTTTAAGTAAAAGTTGAAATACCAAAGTAAGCTCAAAAACCCGTTTTTAACTGCCCAAAAACATGCTAAAATTGATCTCATGGTTCTCTTTAATATAAAGCACAACTTAATGCAATTGGATTGTTTTTAGGAATGAATAATTTATCTGTTGTTTATAAGAAATAGTATGTTAAATGTTTTTGGCACATTTTATAATGTGATGTCATGATCTGTTTTACTAATGAGTTTGTGTAATCTCAAATGGAAAAATGGAACAAAACCATAATGGTTTAAACCTTTAGTGTAAGGAATCTTATCTGAAAATTATTCTTTTTCTAATAAGCATTATGTTAATATATTAATTAAAAAACAATGTAGTAATATAAGACCTTAGGATCGTGGGTGGCATTTACACCTCAGAATTTGAATACGGATTTCTGTTGGCTTTGACTGTCATTATTATGGCATTTAAAACAAAAAATTCTCAACAGCCTAAATCAGTTCTTACACAGACGAGTACTGTTACAATACTAGAAAGCTGCTGTTTTCTGGTAAGATACAACATTCTGTGCTGTTGAGAATGATGGACGTACTTCAAGTCTCCAGCCACCAAGCTCTAAAGGTATTCTGCATTTTATAGTAGCTTATCTACATCCTTTAGGAGCATACCATTTTCAGGAGTATTTTGAAACTGTCAGAATTTTACAGTTCAGGATTAAATAGACCTTTTCACTGGAAGATAAGAGGTTTTAGTCAACTGGAATGACACGAAAAAAAAGATTTAAACTGAACTTTAAAATATACTGTACATTAAATATTTCAAGAACACATATAGATGTGAACTCTCATACCAGAAGGTTTAGTGTATTTATGCAATATTTTTCTTACTTATAATATGCTTTCTATATGCAGGGATATGGTAATACAAAGCTTAGTTCTCTGTCACTTGGTCAAGGCCAAGGCCCGATAGCCATGAAAATGATAGAGAAGGCAGTAAAGGAAGGAACATGGATAGTTCTGCAAAATTGCCATCTAGCAAGTTCATGGATGCCAGTACTGGAAGGAGTCTGTGAGGTAAAAATAAGTACTAGCTTCTTCTTATAAATACATTTGAAGGCATATCTGATCCATACAGGCTACTGAAAAGCCAGCTTAGCATACTTCATGATGATTGCTATTATATAAAGGTAACTATTGTACATTGATTCTGTTTTTCCTTCTGCCTACTGGGGTAGAAAGTGTGCACAAACATGATAGATCTAGTGCATTCCTTCAATGGTAAATCCCAGCTGCTACAACAGCCCCTTCAGGCCATGAGCTTTCATCATATTTCTATTGCTGCAGAAACAGTATGCTAAGGAATTTTACTCTTGAACAGCTATGGATTTTGAAAGAGGTGCAAGTGTACATTTCTTTCTTCCCCCTGCCCCTTAATAAACTTAACACATTTCTGACGTATACATACGATTACTATAGCCCTTCCCAGAACAGCTGTATTACAGTAAATGGGCACAGTATACTATATATATATATATATA